AAGTGAAAATGGACTCTTAAATGCTTTAATATTAGTATGGACTCTTAAATGTTTTAATATTAGTGATTTTTTTCTCATTTCTATTTCTCAAAGCTTTTTTAATTACACTTGTTCATTTGAATTGAAAGTACAGATCCTGTGAATACCTTACCTCACCTCTTGGATGGGGAGCTACTATTTATTTTACCTGCTTACCTTCATATCTCCTGTTCTTACATTAATGCATAGCTTTTTCAAACTATTCCTTCATAATATTACTGAAAAACTATTTTTAAATGATATGAGGATGGGTTGATTATGATTATTGATTATGTTTTTATAAGAATGTTCATTGTATAGGACTCAGTGCAATATCCTAGAGACTATTTTGCACATACCAGGATCCCATATGGATGCTGGTTCATGTCCCAACTACTCCACTTCCCATCCAGCTCCCTGCTTGTGGTCTGGAAAAGCAGTGGAGAAAGAATCAAAGGTTTGGGACCCTGCACCTGTATGGAAGACCCAGCAGAAACTCCTGGCTCTTGGCTTCAGATCAGCTCAGCTCTGGCCATTGCATCCACTAGGGGGCTAAATCAGCAGAGACCTTTCTTTTCTTTCTTTCTTTCTTTTTTTTCTTTCTTTCTTTCTTTCTTTCTTTCTTTCTTTCTTTCTTTCTTTCTTCCCTTTTTTTAAGCTACATTTATTTCATTTTATGACACAGTTTCATAGGCTCTGGGATTCCCCCAATACCTCCCCCCACATTGAATTCCTCCACATTGTTACAGTAGTACAGATCATAACCAGTCATGATATCGTCATTGTGGACATGGATCATGCAGAGAGTCCAGCATCTTATTGTCCAGCTAAATTTAACAGTTTCATTGGGAAGCCATCCCTCGGCTGAAAGTAGGGCTGGCAGAATACCATCCCCTTCAATGAAAAGCCCCTACATAATTTCAACAACAATTTACAACATCATGAAGTTAATTGACATGGTATTGAGTGACCAATATGTTAGAAAATGCAAGTTCTTAACCACATCCTGTAATCATTTCATTGACATCTCAATTATAGTTTATACACAACCGGCTGCTATACACCTTAAAATAGCTATATGGTACTATTCAGCTGTCTCATGTCTATTTTCATTTTTATAGTTAGCAGCTTAAAGTATTCAAGCGTGGTTTTTACTGAACTACACAAAATTTAGGATAGTCCAAACAGGTTTATACCTCAAACAAGCCATATGTTAGCAACTGAGGAACAGAACAGTTTTAGGAGGCGTGTGCAGAGAAATCTTCAATACCTTGGTGAGGAGTAACCAATCTTTGTGTCCTACCTAGTTAGGTATATGGGAGTCCAAACTGACTATTTCCTGTCTGTTTTAAGCTTTCCTTATTGGTCTCTGTCTCATCTAATTTGGGGGAGTGGTTCCAGAGCGACCCTGATGGGCATTGCAAGAGAGGGTGGAGAGCCAAAGTTGGAACTGAGTTAGGACCAGAGAAAGCTCTCCTCCCGAGTCCCAAAGGAAGTTAACTGTTCTGTTTCTGAGCACCGCTCAGGGCTCCTGGCTCCTGGCTGTTGTTCTGATGACATTAGATCCTGTGAGGAAGGATCTGGGCTTCTTGCATCCCATGTGGGAGATCCAATAGGGAATGGATGACCTCAGAGTTCTTGGCCTATGAGGGCACTCCAATTCCCTGTGGCCTCCTTGGCAGATGGGATACAGTCCTTGGCGCCCATACTGGTAGTCCTTGGTGAGGATCCAGGAGTCTCCAGGGATGGGATACAAGCCTCCTCCTGTCCTTCTGCTCCGCTCTGGGGTCCCCCCTGCTCTGTGCATATGACCTCCTCTTAAGAGGTTGACAGGATCGCTCTTGGAACCCACTGTATGCCTTTATAGTTCTTGTTAATGTCTAATGCAGATTCAAGTCTGCTGTCTGTAAGTTACCTGTTACAAGCAGAGATCTTTCTCTGTCTCTTATTCTCTCTGTGAATCTGTCTTTCAATTTAAAAACAAATAAGCCTTTAAAAAAAGAATGCTCATTGTATAATAACATAAACAGAACAAATGGCTATGAGCAAACAGGGGCCGGGTTGAGCACATGAGAGCCTCCACACTGCCTGCCACATGCAGCTTTTGCAGTGTGATGAATAGGGTAGGGAAGACTTGGGTTAAAACTCCAGTCCACCTATACATAAGTGGTAGTGATGTAGTTATGTATTAAGCTAAATCATCTTCTTCAGCAAAGATTAATATCGAATTGATAGAACCTTTTATAAGAACTAAAGTCCATGCATAATACTTAGCATAATGACAGGTAGAGAATAAACACTAAATATTAGTTATGATTGAGTATTTGTAATTATGGGTATGTGAATATATTGTATAAAACAAAGATAGGCTGTTTCTTCCTGACACAGTGCTCAGCTGTAGACAAATATTATGAAGCATACCTCTCAACAAACTCACATCAATTTACATTATAACAGCTGTATGAGTAACTCCATTCCCGGCTTCTATACAAATACAGTGGTGTTACTGCATGGAAATGCTGGCAATAGTTATAAGATCAGTTCACAGTGACTATATTCTGACAATTGCTATTCCTGTCCTTTGCCTATTTTATAAGGAGTCTCTCATATTCTAGAATGTATCATATATAAAAATAGACCATTTTTATTTTTTCATTGATTATCCTTTATTTTCCATGATACAGTTTTATAGGTATAGGATAGACTGTCATTTACTAAAATACTTTATCTAGCTTTTCTTCACATTTCTGATTTTAACTTACTATGTTAAGGATATATGGTAGCCTCAAATATTCTAATAATTCGATAAAATCGTCTTGCCTTTGAGATGAAAAAGTTCACTCACATATTTGCCTAATACTAACAATTATCCACAGGTACCTGAAACTTCCAAAAGCAAACCCTCCGGTAACAGGCAGTCAGTGGTCACTCAATATTTCCACCATCTCCACAGTGTTTAGATGGGATAGCACTGTGAAATCCCTAAGCTGTGAGGGCCACCAGGAGCTCCAGAACAGACTTAACTTGAGTTTCAGAGCTCAAGATCCAGGCATCAGATCTGGCTTGCTAAACTGCAAAATTATTGCTGCCATCTATAGATTAATTTGCTTTCTGATGTTAATATCACTATGGGTATAAAAGGCAGTAAACCCACAGTCCTTTCTTCTTGTCAGACCGGACCCCATTGCCAGTCCTCAGCTGTGCTTTTGTGAGATGCATAAGAGGGTATGGGGAATTGCGTACACCCACCTACAACTTCATTCTGTATTTATCCTCATTTATATTCATGATCATCATTTGCCACCCCTCAACCTACAGATTCTCAATACTGGCCAAGCTTAGCCTTATTCTGGAATCAACTCTCTCATTTTGTTAACTGTATCTTTGTAACTACCTTTTTTATTTATTGATTTTCTTGAGAAGCAGAGAGAGAGAGAGAGAGAGAGAGAAATCTTCCATTTCATGGTTCACTCCTTAAACTCTTGAGCAGTCAGGAGTGGACCCAGACAAATACAAGAGCCCAGAACATAATCTGGGTTTCCTGCATGAGCTGTCAAGGACCCAAGTGCTTGATCTACCACCAGTTGCCTCTGATGATGTGCATTTGTAGGATGCTGGAATGTGGAGTGGAGGTAGTCGTCAAACCCAGGCATTCTCATATTGCTGAGGGAGTTGCAACCAGAATCTTAAGTGCTATGCCAAACTCCCACTTGTGTATCTACTTTTAACTCAATCCTCTTCCCACCTCATTTTTCAGCCACTTCTTTCCTCCTTTGCACACTGTATAATGCTAACTCTCAACTAAGCACTTTATTTTTTCAAAACTAAGTCTTAATTGCTGACCTTATTTCTTTTACCATTAATCAGCATTTGGCCCAGCATGTCTCTCATGCTCTTGTCCCATGGAATCATTACTATTCAACTCCTCCCAACTTAAAAGAATGAAGGACTCAGTTTCTTCCTATAGCAAGCTAGACCACTGATTCATCTTGATTCTTGCCCACCATTCCTACTAGTATCAAAAGAGATAAGATACAAATGTGTTCAAAAAGCAACTGATCGTGATATAAACATACAATAAATTTATTGCAAAGAGGAATACAATTATCAAGGCAGAAGCAAGAAGAACTTTATTGAGGCAGTACATTTATTACTTGTAAAGCATGTGACATCACATTAGAAAAGTATCTTTTTAGGGCCCGGCGCGGTGGCGCAAGTGGTTAAGTCCTCGCCTTGCACGCCCGGGATCCCATATGGGCGCCGGTTCTAATCCCGGCAGCCCCGCTTCCCTTCCAGCTCCCTGCCTGTGGCCTGGGAAAGCAGTTGAGGACGGCCCAAAGCTTTGGGAACCTGCACCCGCGTGGGAGACCCGGAAGAGGCTCCTGGCTTCGGATCGGCATAGTATCGGCCCGTTGCGGCTCACTTGGGGAGTGAATCATCGGATGGAAGATCTTCCTCTCTGTCTCTCCTCTCTGTATATCCGCCTTTCCAATAAAAAAAAAAAAAAATAATAAAAAAAAAAAAAGAAAAGTATCTTTTTAAATGTGAAATTCATACATTAATGTGTATAAAAGTTATTCCTTATAACTTCCTTCACACAAAATATCTTTAGGTTACATAATTGGTCATATAAAAATGAATATAGTAGTAAGAAAAATGTTTCTCTCAATTTTCTTATTTAGATTTTTAATTTCTAAGAAAACATAAAATACTTCAAAAGCACTATAAATTTCAGGAAGACAAGTTGTAATTTATTTTTTAAAACTTTCATTATATATTGTTAATTCAATTAGTAGCAAAAACAAACATGATTTATCTTATGCAGTGCAAAAAACTGAAATTCTCTCTCTAACCCTCTAGCATCTAAATGGTATCTACAAATGTTGCTAATGTATCTGACACTAAGGAAAAACAGGAGTTGCATAAAATTATGATGATGTTATTTAAAAATTACAGAGCTTGCATAATAATTTACAGTGAGATTACTTAAAGTATGGGTTGTAAGTTCTTCTGATTTTCATTGAAACAGATTTAATCTTGACAGGTAAATCGTTCTTGCTCCATGTGCCCCACTGAATCCCAGTTGCCAGCAGCTTTCCCGAAAAGTGAAGAATCCCATTTAGATTTGCCAGACCACATTGGCCAAACCACCAGCCAGTATTATTGTTGAGATAACTGCAGCTCTTCACAGACTGACCCTGGACCACGCATGCAGGGTGACACCCATCATTGTCAACATCTGATGTGCTGAAAGGCATTGCATTTTGATTATCTTCTTTTCTGAGGCCCCGGAATGCATCACCTGGGTAAAACAGGGGTTTTTTTAAGATTTTTTAAAATTTTTCATTGGAAAGGCAGATTTACAGAGAGAAGGAGATACAGAAAGAAAGATCATCCATCCACTGGTTCACTCTCCAAGTGGCTGCAACAGGTGGAGCTGAGCCAATCTGAAGCCGGAAGGCAGGAGCTTCTTTTGGGCTTCGCAGATGGGTGCAGAGTCCCAAAGCTTTGGGCCATCCTCCACTGTTTTCCCAAGCCACAAGCAGGGAGCTGAATGGAAAGTGGAGTAGCTGGGACACAAATCGGTACTCATATGGGATCCCAGCACATGCAAGGTAAGGATTTAACCACTGAGCCATCACGACAAGTCCCAAAACAGATTGTTTTAAAAGGGCTGAATTTGAGGTGATTTCCATTCTTTCAGTTGACCAAACTATTATGATAAAGCATCATACCTTGAAAACAAGCTTAAATTATTTTTTTTGTGGTTGTTCCTATAGTAATTTCTCAGACATACACTATTCAATGTTCCAGAATCTGGCCATAAATTCCTCAGCATGTGGAAGTTTGATTACATAGACAAAATAAGGTAACTTAGGTCAAAATGATAGGAAAGAGCCAGTCATACTTAGGGAGACCAATGAAGTGATTCATAAATTAGAAAAATAAAACCATTTATACATAGTTTCATATCACTATCATTTACCTTACATCATTTTAGATACAGAAATGTAAATTCTAAACACATGACAAAGTGAACGTCAGTTAGTATATTTGGAACACAAAGAGAAATGCTATGCGAGTTGTATGGAGAGTCAGGGACCTGTGTTTGTTTCATTATGTTTCTAAATAATTGGGCCCACTTGAGATAAACCTCTTGGGGATCTTGAAGAAGCTCACTAATAGTTGAGGCCTAACTTCTGCCTCAGCTATGCTGATTAAGAAAGTCTTTGCCTCTGCATTTCATGGGAAACAGAATACATAGAGAGAATATAACTTTCCAGAAAGAACACAAATTTCAACATACACAAAGTGCAATGGTTTTCAGGTAAGAGAGAACACTAATAGAGAATTGCCTAAATTTTGTTAACAATCTATGGTTACCCTCCCTGGGAAAAGTCCAACAAGAGAACCATTATGCACCATATGAGTTCTTCTATGGATTATACCTAAAAACTCACTGAAAAACGTATGTAGTGGAGTGGGCATTTGGTCTAGCAGTTGAAACACCTGCATCCCACACCAGAGTGTCTGTGTTCAATGGCCAGCTTAAGCTCCTGACTCCAGCTTCCTGATAACACAGAATCTGGAAGGTGCAAGAAATGGATTCCTGCCACCCACGTGAGAGATCTAGACTAAACTCCTGGCTTTTAGCTTTAGCCCAGCCCCATCCTGGCCATTGCAGGCAAGTGGGGAATATTTGGAGAATAGACCACTCATCATTCTCTTTCTCATTCTCTCTCTCTCTCTCCTTTTTCACTCTCCCTCCCTCAGAGGTTAATGAATAAAATAAAATTTTTAATTTTTAATAAAATTTTACAAATAAAAACACATGGATCTATTTCCTACACAATTATCCATTCAAATCCATTTGCCATGTGTACTATCAGAGTTTAGCTGGAGACCACCATACTCTACTTTCTCTGAGAACCCAAAGAATTTCTATGAAGTTTTATAATATGGAATATTATGCTTCTCATGGATCTACCATGTTGCTCAATTGGCCTAATCTGTATTGCTATTTTTGCTCTTGACTCAAAGACAAATTGTGGCCCACTTCTACCTGTCTGTTTATATGTAACCCCTTCAATTTATTTATATTTCTATCCTTTTATTATTTATTATCATCCTTTTACTTTTATTATTTATCATTTAGTGTCATCCTTTTATTTCTATTATTTTGATTATATTATATGAACGATAGTTAAAAGTCACCTAACAGTCTTGTTGAGAAAATGTAGAATATGGCATTGCAAATTCTGAGGGTTCTAAAATGAAAAACTTTTGCCATTATGTTATCCTGTAGTTAGATCTACTCATCAATTAGAGAACCTCCACATAATATTTTCCTAACATAGAATTTCCATATTCAAATATCTCTTTACACATTTAGAACTGAAGCATTGAAAGTTTCAACTTAAAGTCTTCAAAATTCTCCAAACATATCAAGACTTGAATTTCAGGCTTTCATTTAATATCCCAGTGTAAACCCTCTCAGACGTCATAGATCCTAACCCCACCAGCATCTCTTTTTGCACTGTAATTTTTCTTCCTCTATATCCTGACTCAAGCTGATCAGTCTGCCAACATATACTTGCCAAAAGCCAATCCATTCCTCCAGGACCAGGTCAGTGGTTCTCAGCTGTAACTGTTTCAGTACATCCTTCTGGCCCAAGCTTACTGAATCGGATACAGCAGGGATATGTATTTATCAAAAGTTTTACAGCTTGAATCTAACATCAACCCCTTGTTGCAAGCTGCCCCATCTAAAGATTCTCAGGATGCAATCAATTGGAATCCCTCCCACCCTCTCTTCAGCCCTCAAAACTGTATCAGTATTCTGTTGTGGTCAGTTGAATGGCAGTGAAACATGGATCATTCATGTCTAAAACCGAATATGCATAATGAACAAGTACCATGAGTAGTAGTGATGATGGGAAAGTCAATATTTCTGATACTTTCAATATGAAATGAGATCAAAAGATCTCTCTAACATTCTATGACTTGTGGATGCCAGCCATTTTGAAGATACAAACGGGAATAATACCTTTCCAGACCATTGCATAGTCTCTCTACAAATAGAACAAACTGACACTACTTAAGACAAATTATTTTAGAAAGTATGAAATGATCCAAATAATATGATGTTACCACAATCTTAACAGTGTTTTGGCTCAAGAGCTAGCCAGGTTTCTTATTTCTAATCTATTCTATTTTCAGTTGTATATCAATCTAACAAGATAAATGCAATTTTCTGTCTAATAGAGCAATTTCTATTAAAATATTCTGAACATCTTTAGAAATTAATAACTTGGGGCTGGCACAGTGGCATAGCAAGCTAATCTTCCTGTGGTACCAGCATCCCAATTGGGTGCCATTTCCTGTCCCAGATGCTCCACTTCTGATCTTACTCCCTGCTAATGACCTGAGAATGCAGCAGAGGATGATCCAAGTACTTGAGTCTCTACACTCACATGGGAAACCCAAAAGAATCTCCCGGCTTCCAGTTTCAGATCAGCCCCGTTCTGGCCATAGCAGCCATTTGGCAAGTAAACCTACAAATAGAAGGGGTGTGTGTGTGTAATTCTGAATTTCATGTAAAATAGATAAATTCTTGGAAGGAAGGAAAGAAGGGGGATTGACACAGTGGCTCAACAGACTAGTTGTCTGTCAGCATTCCATAAGGGTGCCAATTTATGTCCCAGCTTCCCATCCAACTCCCTGCTTATGGCCTGGGAAATTAACAGAGAATGGTCAAAGTCCTTAGGACCTTGAACACTTAGGGGGGACTCGAAAGAATTTCTTGACATCTGGCTTTGGATTGATTGAGCTCCAGCTGTTGCAGCCATCTGGGGAGTGAACTAGCAAATGGAAGATCTTTCTTACTGTGCCTCCTTTCCTCTGTATAGCTGCTTTCCAATAAATATGAATAAATCTTTTTAAAAACTCTAAAGTATTGCTAAGAACTGTAAGCAAGATAGGCATAGAAGAAACATTCTACAACATAATCAGAGCAATTTACGAAAAACCCAATGCTAGCATCATACTAAATGCAGAAATATTGGAAGTTCTCCCATAAGGTCTGGAACTAGACAAGGATGTCCACTATCACCACTGCTACTTAACACAGTACTGAAAATACATGCAACAGCTATTAGACCAGAAAAAGAAATTAAAGGAATTAAAATTGGAAAAGAGGAAATAAAACTATCAGATGACATGATTTTATACATGGGAGAACCAAAACACCCAATAAAGAGACTGCTAGAACTTTTAAGAGAGTTTGGTAAGGTGGCAGGGTACAAAATAAATGAGTGCAAATCAGTGGCCCTAGTGTATGCAAACAACTCCAAGACTAAAAAAGAACTAATCAGTATGGTGCCTTTCAAAATAACAGAGAAGATACTGAAACATCTTGAAATAAACCTAACTAAAGGTATGAAAGATCTCTGTGAGGAAAATTACAAAACATTGAAAAAAGATACAGAAAACCTTCCAAAGTGGAGAAATATACCATGTTCCTGGATGGGCAGAGTCGATATCAAAATGTCTATATTATCAAAGGCAATATGCAAATTCAATGTGATTCCAATCAAAATATGAAGAACATTCTTCGCAAAGTGGGAAAAAATGGTACAAAATTTTATCTGGAAACACAAGAGACCGAGAATAGCCAAAACTCTTCTGAAGAATAAGAACTTAGCTCGAGGGAACACAATCTCAGACTTTAAGACATACCAAAGAGCAGTAGTAATCAAAAGACTCTGGTACTGGGACAGAAACAGAAAGGAAGATTAATGGAACAGAATAGAAACATCAGAAGGGAGTCCACACCTGTACAGCCATCAAATCTTCATCAAGAGAGCAGAAAACAACTCAGGGAAGAAATAGGGTCTCTTCAACCAATGCTGTTGGGACAATTGAATAATAGCTTGCAGTTACAAGAAACAAGACCCCTACCTTTCACCATACAAAAAGATAAAATTTAAACGGATAAAGGATATAAACCTACACCCAGAAACTTCTGCACAGCAAAGGAAACAATCAAGTAATGAAGCAACTAACACAGTGGAAGAAAATCTTTGCATACTATACAACAGAGAGCGGGCTAATATCCAGTATATACAAAGAACTCCAAAATACCCATAACAACAAAACAAACAAACCAGTTAAGAAATGGGTGAAGGAAATGAGCAGACATTTTTCAAAGGAACAAGTCCAAATGCTTAACAGACATGAAAAAATGCTCAATCTCCCTAACAGTAAGGGAAATTCAAATAAAAACAACACTGAGGTTCCACATAACTCCAGTGAGAATGACCCACATACAGAAAACTACCAACAACACCTGCTGGCAAGCATGTGGGGAAAAAGTTACCCTACTCCACTGCTGGTGGAATTGCAGGCTGGCGCAGCCACTATGGAAGTTGGTATGCAGAATACTCGGGAAACTGAAAATTCACCTACCATATGACATAGCTCTCCCACTCCAGGGAATATATCTAAAAGATCTGATACATTCATATGAGAAAGCAACTTGCACCCCTGTATTCATTGCAACACAATCAACAATCACAAAAGCATGGAAACAACCTAGATGCCTATTGAAAGAGGACTGGCTAAAGAAACTGTGGTACATCTACTCCATGGAATACTACTCAGCTATTAAAAAGAATGAAATTCTATCATTTGCATCCAAATGGGCCCAACTGGAGAACATTATGCTAAGCAAAATGCTAAGCAATCCTGAAAGGACAGATATATGTTCACTATAATATAAGACATCTTTCATCAAAAATACAAACAAAAAATAAAGGTGAACAAATACACATGTGTAACCCAAAAACAAAGGATGTGATAGAAACCATAGTACCAGGAATCAAAGAAAATCAGCAGCATGCATATCTACTAAGGAATGAAGGCAGACTCCCAATGAAACTTCTAAATATACCTAGACAACAAAAAATTAGTGCCTTGACACATAAAGAACAGAAATGCAACCATTTCTCTTTTATCTCTAATTTTAAGTGGTTGTTCTCTCATGATGCTATTTGTTAATATGCGTGAGGGGTTGTCTCTTTCTTGTTCCAATTTGCAGCTTTTTTGTTTCAAAGTTTTTGTTGCGAATTTTACATTTTAGCACTTTCTATTCATTTGCATCTTTTTCAATAAGTCCTTGTGATTCATTAATAGATCATTCACACGAAACATTTTGATTATTTGTAAGCACCCTGATGTTATAAACATCCCTTTCAGCACTGCTTCTGCTTCATCTCATGGACATTGATAATCTTGCTTTTATTGTCATTTCCTTGGTGCCATATCGGTCATGCAGCAGCAGCATTTTCTATAAGGTTTTTGATTTTCTTTTTCACCACTTTAATGACACATTGGTCATTCTGTAGCATGTTGTTTAATCCCATGTTGAGGTAATTTTTCTGGTTTTCTGCCTGTTGTGCATTGTGTTTTCTGGCTGTATTTAAGGGGATGCATAATAGAAGTGCAGCAGACGTCCAGATGTGGAGCCAGTGCAGTGTGCATCTCTGCATCCAGACCAAAGATGGACTCCCATGAAACTATTGAATATAACCTGACAGTAGGATGCTGGATTTTCTGACACTGTCCATGCCTACAATGTCAGGAAACACTTCAATAGTGGAACGATGTACTTATGACTCTTCATGAAGGACTACCCATTGTAATACCAGAGGGTAAATCAGTAGGGGAAGAAGGAGGAACTTCTCAAGAGGACTTCAGGAGGGACAAGGGAAATCCCAGAGCCTATGGAACTGTCTCATAAAATAAAAGCTTAAAATTTTTTAAATCAAAAAAAGAAGAAAAAGGAAAGAAATTTAAAACTTACCAGCATTTCCTGAGTACCGTCCTAAGTGTATTTTAAAAAATCTTGTTTCGTCTTCTAGCCAAAAATTATCATACGTTGCATATGCAAATGTGTCATCTTCAGCTTCCAAAGCCACATGCAGCATAAAAGTACGATTTTTTTGATTTACTATATAGAAAATCTTTTTTAATCCTAGCCAAAATTCTCCTGTTTAAAAAAAAAAAAAGTTTTGACTGAGATGGCTCACAGAAATAGAAATTGGCTGTGCTAGTGCAAATCTTCAGTTTCCCTGATCTATTGAAAGTATTTCCCCTGGGCCAGTGTGATGCCTAAATGGCTAAATCCTTACTTTGCACACATCAGGATCCCATTTGGACAGTATTTCATGTCCTGGCTACTCCACTTCCCATCCAGTTCTCTGTTAATGGCCTGGGAAAGCAGTAGATGAAGGCCTATAACCTTGGGACCCTGCACCTGCTTGGGAGATCTGGAAGAAGCTGAGCTTCAGCCACTGTGGCCATTTGGGGAATAAAACAGTGGACAGAAGATCTTTCTCTCTGTTTCTCCTTCTCTGCATAAATCTGACCTACTTTCCAATAAAAATAAATAAATCTTTTTTAAAAATACCTTTTTCTTACTTGTGCCTCACTAGATTGTTTTATTTCTATATGCCCAATTAAATAAAAAACCAAGTCTTAAATTAAGACATGTCAAAAAAAAAAAAACTGAAGAACAGGCAGATAATAAAATGATGTCTACCAAGAAATGTAAATGTTTAACCTCCAAAGAAACATATCCTGAAAATGCTCAGTTGAAATTATTTTTTTCAGGCCTGGTGCAATAGCGTAGTGGCTAAAGTCTTCACCTTGAACATGCCAGGATCATATATGGTTGCCAGTTCTAATCCCGGCGGTCCTGCGTCCCATCCAGTTCCCTGCTTGTGGCCTGGGAAAGCAGTCAAGGACGGCCCAAAGCCTTGGGACCCTGCACCCAAGTGGGAGACCTGCAAGAGCTCCTGGCTCCTGGCTTCGGATTGGCTCAGCACCTGCCGTTGCGTTCACTTGGGGAGTGAATCATCAGACAGAAGATTTTCCTCTCTGTCTGTCCTCTTCTCTGTATATCCACCTTTCCAATAAAAATAAAAATAAATCTTTAAAAAAAGGATGTTTAAATAAAAAGAAAGAAATTTTTTTTTTCTTTCTGGGTGAATGAGTGAATACATTCAGAAGAAATAGCTCTCTGTTACAACGGAGCTTTTTCATCCCCTTATAACTGGAAATAATATTCTAAAACTTGAGTGTCCTTGGGCTTAGGATCAATATTTTCAAACTTCTGTACATACAGGATGAGCTATAAAACTCTCCAATTCAGATAATGTACTTCCTGCATGTATATTCTAACCGATGCCTCTCCCACCCACAGTGGTAGAGCCTAAGTGTGGATACCTCTCTTGAAATGCAGCCTTCTACTCGGATCACAGGTATTACTAAATTATGTAATGGTGTAGTAAAACAAAGTTCAAGGAATTGGAAAATAATTTGACAGCTTCCAAACTACGATCATTATAGCTAAGATGTTAAGTCCTTCTCATAGACTCACAGGAGAGTTACAGTTACCACCCACCTGGCATTAAAAAGTATCCAGAATTGCAGCAGGAAAGTGGACATATGGGGATGGCCAAAGATGTGGTCAGTCTCATGCCATAACCCTTCAACTCCAATATCCCCATTGTCCTTCCCCTTTCTCCCTACTTCAAAGTTAAAATTTAACAATACATTTTCCTGAAGCTCAAAATAATTTTAAAAGCAATGTTAAGTACAAAGGAGCCTTGCTTTAAATGAAAGACACCTGCCTGGAGACTAAATTAGTCAAAAATTTTGTCATTTCCCTACAGAAATAAGTATCAAGTTAGGAAGATGACAATTCAAATTTTAAATGTTGTTTTATGACAGTTTAAGTAAGGAAGAATACTCATTGGAAATTCTGAGGTAATGAAAGTAAATTAACTGCATTCCAAGGAGAGTAGATAACTGCTATAAACAAATTACCTTCAAAAATTATTGGCATGCAGTAGACTTCGTACAGTGGAGCTAACACAACTTACTGGATCCTTGAATGGCATTATTACAGGGGTTACTTCTCACCTGGAGAAGTTTTGACTAATAGAAATTCTGCAGAACACTGTCATTTGTCCTTACCAGAAAAAGTGATACTGCCATGTTGCAAACACATTTTACAGTTCACATTGGCCTGTAATTCTCAAATTTTTGTTGTTGTTGTTGTTTTATGACACCGTTTAATAGGCACAGGGTCTTTACTGATATCTTTATAAAATACTCTGTCCAACTCAAACAATTTCAATTTGGACTAAGTATATCTCAGTTCTCCATTCCATTTGGTTAACCAGACACCACGCACATCTCAACCTGCCAGCCTTTGTCAGGACACTATTGGGTGCATACTGGACACTTAGTAAATATTGCACACGAATTCTCACTCCAATCACATTTCAATAAAAACCTAACAATAAAGATTTCTAGATCTTAACATCTACTAAATCATTTAACATAAGGAGAGGATGATCTAAGTCATATTTTGATATTCACATGCATTTTCTATTTTCTTTAAAGATCTGATGTGTAAAGACATAGCCTGTAAGAATATCAAGAAGAAGGAAAAAAGAACAAAAGAACATGAAATTTGACCTAAAAGGTCACCAAATCCATCCAGATAGTCACACCACAATCTCTGGAAATTAATTACTCCATCAATCCTTTTCTGTATCACAGTCCATCCACCCCCTCTGAAATCCATATCACACATGACCTAAAACAGGACAAAAAGACAACAACAATACAGCATTAGTATAATGACCTGAATCATGCTAATCTTAATCCTAGAGAAAGAGAAAAAGCCTCCACTGAAAGTTTTCAATGTCTTTATGTGTCACGAATACAATCTGATTTTTAAATCTCTAGAAATGATCATTGTGATTATTATAAGGAAAACTTGGAATGAACCTAATTACAGTCTCTGTCATTTTTTTTTAAATATATGCTTACAGAATGCTAGTCATGTTAGTCAACTCTAAAAAGACTTTTCAGTTTCATGTTTATTGTACTGATCTTATATGGCAGAGTGATAGATTCCTCTACAAGTTAACTTTTCACTTGAACTAAAATGCTATGGGTTTTTCTTGTCTGCCTGACTTTGATTGCTCTTTCCTCACACAGGCTGGCATTTCTCACACAGACTGGCACTGCCAGACAGAAAGGTATGATCTACGCCTACTCAGCAGGCCCTCTGAAGTGTAGCTATTGATACTGTGCAAAATGCCCCTCTTAGAGCACCTGCAGGGAACCCATTACAGCAACACAGGGAAGAAATCAGAGCCATATTCTCTATCAGAAACTTCCCACATGAAGACTGAGAAAGGCAGTGTGGAGGAGGTGAGGGACTCAATAATTTCCCACAAAAGAGGTAATTATTCATCCCACTCTCTACAAAATTAGAAGTTTTCCCTTTCCACAACTGTTCAGATCCACTTTTAAATCTATAGACGAAGCAATTTAGGTAATAATTTTAAAATTATTTCCCACCTAATTCTCAACTTTCTGACATTTTATCAATGGATGTCAAAAAATGGAAATAGCACTAAGATCTCTACTTAAAGTTATTATATAATAAAGACCATAAATGAGGTGTAAGTACCACAAACTTTCTTATGCACAAAGGAAAAATATCTAATTATATAGGGATGGATATAAATATGTTTACATGCATATATCTCATCAATGTGGATAATCTCTAAAAATTTCTTCCTGAAATCCTTTCACAGAACTAGCAGTGATAGACATAGAAGTAATTTATTTTATTCAGTTTGTTAGTCAGCTTCAATATACATCACAATCCAGTTTTAGGTTCTTCTAAATTATTTATGTCCTATGCAATTATATGAAATCATTTATCATAAAAAACATACAGGAAAGAAAATTGAAAATAACCTCCAAATCAAAGCATAATTTTTTAATATCCATCAGCTAATTAAAGCATGTATTTATATTGCATGGTTCTGTCTATGATGATCCTGTCTAATGTAAGAGTAATAGAAGGTCGTATTGACCATAGAGAAAATAACCACGAAGGGCATAGCAAGTTAGGCCACTTCTTACGACTAAGCATTCCATATTTGAGTACTGATTTGAGCCTTGGCAGCATCAAAGCCAAACCAGCTTCCTGCCAATGTGTTTGGAAAGGCAGCAAAGGATGGCCAGTGAATTTCAATCCCTTCCATCTATGTGGGAAAATAGGATGAGGTTCCTGGCTCGTCCGTTTGACCTGATCTACACCTGGCTCTGGCCCCTGGGGAATGACCAGCAGATGGAAAATCTCTGTCTCCCTATGTCTCCGTCTCTATCACTCTACCTTTCAAATAAATTAATAAACATTTGTTTCTTTTTTAAAAAGACATATATAAAGACTAAAATTGAAAAGTAAAATGTAAATTATTCTGTTCTATTGGTTCAGGATTTAGATTTTAGAATTTTAGAAAACCAACATTTTGAAACTGGAAATTTCAATTACTTACTTTAACTTTTCAAGGAAAAAACTAAATAGTAAACCAGTTATAATTTTAATATTAATTAAATTGCCTGGATATTTAACTTATTCCATAAGAGAAAGCTTTACCTCAAATGGATAACTAGATCCTTCTGGGTAAATTATATACAAGCCACTTGGTGTCTTGGTCACAGAGCCAATGGTATCTTTAATGTCACTGCAGTCTAAACCTAGAAAAGTAAAATTTGTTAATTAGTAAATTTTCAAGTAAGCATTTAAGACAATGATTTAATTGTAGAGAACTGATTTGCTATCTAAATGTTATCTTTATTTGTGACATGATCATTCTTAACTTCCTAAAAAATTAAAAATGATCACAATTTCAAAAATAAAAAGAAAATATATGAGAGAACCAGAATTGAAGAATGCATGCTGCATTAAGCCCTCACCAATAACCTCTCTTAGTTCTATGTTGTTTTTAAAATTTCATCTGGAATCAGCAGTCGATATATTTTATTGCTGTACATTCTCTTTTCCAAAAAATAAAAAAAAAAAATCTCTTTCAGGAACTTGGGTTTATATTACAGAACATAATGTGTAGGAGAAATTATTACGAATGGATAATAAAAAACACAAAGGAATAAACAGATGGCATATACTGACTCCTTGACTACTCCAGTCTAAACATTATTCTACTGTGTAAGTGAGCACTGACACACTCTCTTCACCCAGAAGAAACCAAAATTCAGACAGAGCCAGTTCTGTTTACAACTGTTATGGGCATATATGTAAAATCACATTCTCCAAAGCATTCAGGTCTCTGGGGGATTGTAAAGATGTGTGTGTGTGTGTGTGTGGATATTAGATTTTACAACAATTATTAAACTTTACTCAAAATACTCAATTACATCTTTCACACACAAAAAAAGGTTTAATTTCAGCCATTTTAGCAATAGTCAAGAAGATGTATGGATTAGAGTTTGCTACACAGTAACTTAATGCTTCAAACCTCATTTCTTCCATGTAATAGCAGAATAATAATAATATCTACTCATAGATTTATTCTGACAATTTATATAGTAAAGCACATGTTGGTACACAGAAAGCATCTCTGAAAAATGTGCATACTCTTCATTTCCAGGGGATACAGCTGTGTTGCCTGTGTTCTAAAACGTTAGGAGACATTGCTGAAATGACATCTGCTAGAGGTCCACATTGAGGGACTAACCTGGGTTGAAATATGTTTTGTCACTATTGTCTAACTCGGCATAAACAACTTAGATTTTCTAGGCTGCATAATCCTCACCTGACATTGACAATGATCCTAACAAATCCTTACATTATTCTTCTATGCTTCCAGTAATATTTTTAAAACTGCATGTATTTACTCATTTAATCACCACAACTGTATGGAGATCCTCACCACCATACAGCACTTCCTGTCTAGGGATACTTATAAGAAATAAATGAAATATGGAGACAATGGTGGGAGGAACATGAGAGGATGCAAATGGGTTAGACCAGTCTCCTGGCCAAGCTTTTCAGCATGTTCCTGGGTCTGTGGATGCACTAAGGTGGACTATGTCAATCAATAGATCTTGGAAAGATTTTCTTAACCAAAGAGCAACAAAACTGACAACATCTCAGGGTTATCAAAACTATTCAAGCAACCCCCTTGGCTCACTCGTTCCCACTTCAGGGTCTCTAGGGAGTCATCAAAAGATCATCCTCCATCCCCAGATGCTGATGTGATTTTGGCATCAACAGCAACCCTCTCCCCTTCTTCCCCTGTGGATAGAGGAATAAAAAAAAAAAGAAAAGAAAAGAAAAGAAAAAAGGATTGAAACAAGTCCCACCCACCTTCCTCCATACCTGACCCTCCCCACTCTTATCAGAGGCTCATATGAGTGTACATCCTTCTCAACTACGTAAACAATATTAAAAAGAAGATGTTAAAAAATAAAATAAAATCAATTTTTAAAAATGGTGGGAGGGAAAAATAGGGAGTGATGAAAGGAAGGTAGAGGAAGGAATCTCTATACCTACAATACTGTATCATGAAAAATAATAATAAATATATCATTAAAATGATTACTTTCTAGGGGGAAAAAAAGAAATGAGATAGAACAAAGTAATGTGTGAAACTGCCTATATTCATACCTGGAACATAAGAGATTATCACGTATTGCTTATTGCTTTGAAGAAAAACATAAAGGCCATACACTCGGCCCTGTATAATAATGTATTTGCTTGAATTTTTATATAAATTCATAATTATAAGATTTATAGAAAATGTTGCCTGAAAATCCCAAGCTTCTAGGAATTAATATTGCTATAATGTAGTATAAAAAGTCTGACTTATATTTCTGCCTTAATCTGTCCTTTTCAAATTTTATATCCCAGTCTGAAACATTTCAACCATGTCAAAGGCATTTCTCACAGGTAGGAGTAGCCCAAATACTCTGACATGAAAAATAATCATTAATAAAATGTAACAGTAAAGCTACCTAAAACTACGCCATTTTTAACAAAGTCAAGATAGTTTCAAAGGACCATGGTTTTCAAATGATCAGGGAACTCTTGTAGTTCAGGCCAGTGCACATCTTTTGTGGTATAACTTGAGAATGGGCAGGAATGTGACCTCCGTACTGTTAGAGAATAGTGAGCTGTATTTTTAAGATGAAAACTTCTTAAAGTGCCAACCTTTCCAGGAATGCTTTAAGCAATAGAGGACAAATGCAAGAAGGCTGAAATATCAAGTCCCTACCATGCGATTGAACTGGTCTGTGCGGAAAAGGATCCAGCTGTTTTCTGAAAACTTCAGTTGTTAAAAGGAGAACTCGATTCATGAGCTCATTAACCTAAACACACACATAATTCACATACACATTTAATTAAAGTTATGTTTGAACCTACTTTCATCAGCTAAGTTCCAGTGCAGTAAAGGCATAGCTAAACAGCGATTACTAAATTCAATAGTGCCTACATCCCTGACATTGAGCTTGTCTGGCCTTGTTTCTGAATTTGATTGCCCCTATGGATCTGCCCTCAACATTTGGCCTGCATTATTGCTATAGATCCTTCTTTCCTCCCTTTGCTCTTCCCCAAGTCATATTCCACACCAATTGACTCATGCCATTTCTTTGTCCACTCAGTGACTTCTTGGTACAGAATTATTTGCTTTCTGACTATTCCTTTTGTTGGCTTTCCCCACCAGTCAATCCAGCCCTGCACAGTATCTAAGAGATGCCTCCAAAACGGAATGCCTTCCACTCCTTACCCAAGCTTTATGACTTTGAAATCCTTTGAAAGCCTTTAGTCGTCTTACACGGCTCAGCTCGTGGGCTCTCTTCAGTCTAAGAGTGCTCACATTTGTGTGTGTGTGTGTGTGTGTGGGTTTGTGTGTGTGTGATACATTTTCCTGTTCCTCTAGGCTGCATGCCCCTAAGAGGAAGGCCCAGTGCTTTTATTGCTCCCTCTAATGATCCCTCTACTACCAGTAAGCACGAAACAGATGTCTGAATGTGACTGTAACTGAAAAACGACATTATTATACCTCTCATTTACTGCAATCAATGTGTACATGAAACAACAATATAATAGTAAAGAAAATCCTTACCTGGTTAGATAAATAATCCAAGGATGCTTGCTGTTCGTCCATCATATTTCTTAATAATTTCTTGGTGCTTCGTGTATAGGAAAGGATAGAATTTTGCAAATTTCCTTAAGTATAATAAAAAATGGCTACTAAATATTATATTGCAATTCAAAAAATTAATTTAAAATAATGTCACTTGATTTTGCATAAATATGCAAACTGAGTAACAGCTTAATTTATCTGAATACCCAATTGTGGGTTTTTTTTTTCATAATTCTTTATCTCAGCATTAGTCAAAATAATGATTGCTTAGATATAACATAATGAAACTCTGCTTCCTAATATAATGATAGGGTTGACCCAAAGTCATCTGCTATAATTTAGAGGTAACGTTCTGAATGATGATTGTTACTTTATCATATAAGAAGTACAGAGGCAGGAGATAGAGGATTCATCAATTCTTATTATATAAAAAGGCAAACAGCAACACTTTCCTATCAAGCAAGTTCATTTTTAAAATAAACCTTTGCTTTCATTTGTTGATTGTTAAGTTTTACACAATTAAACTACCAGTACATATATGAACAGCTATACACCTAGAAAATCTTAGCCAAAGTTTTCAACTAACCGATTTCTGAGTGAACTTCTACCATATGGTTTTCTGGTTTAAGGTGCTTTTATTTTATAACACTATTTCTTGCACAATTACAAGTGGACCTGAACAACCGGCAAAGACAGGAGGGCTGGACGGCCGTCCTGCGTCCTGAACCGGCTACCCAGGACCCAGTGAGACACAGCCTCTCCCGACCAAGCTACCCTGGCAGCCCCACGCCCTAGCGACCCTGCCCTTGCTGAGCCAGCGTCAACCGCTTCCTGCGCCGCGCACCCCGGGTTTGGAGCTCAGACCCACAGATAACAGTTCTCCTTGGTTTTCACCTAAGTTTAATAAGCTCTTCGCACGCTTCAGTTTTCACTCAGAGCCATTCCAACTGAAAACAGAATTTTGAAATCTTAGGTGTAAAGGCATCTAGCCATTCTAATTGTGTGAAATCACTAATGTGGGTGAAATCACTACATCTTCCGACCGAGAACCAGAATCCAGTGAGGAAGAGGGCGATGAATGGATTCTTGCAGGCTTCACAGATACTTGCACAGATTTCCCAGCAAAGACGACATCCATGAAGCGCCGCCTACTGAGCATCCTTGTGTCTTTACCTGGTTGCCTGAATCTGGAGTGCTTGCCTGACACAAGTGATTCCTGCTTCCTCCAGTCTGAGTCCTGTTCCATGGAGAAGAGCTGCTTTATCACCTTTCCCCCATGTTTCACTGCAAGTGGATTAACCGCTATCAAAGTGGAAACAAGTCGAACAGAAAAACTGCTCATCCAACATCCCAGCATGTCTATCAATGATCTGCATAACTCCTGCCCAAGGACTTCCAAGATCGGGGTAGTCCCAGGGCCAGGAAAAGCTGCTTACAAGACTCACGGATACAGAAGTGGAAGCTCAGAGTGAGATGGAGCCACACATCTGCTGCTATGTCACAGCTTTTGCTGCTCATGCAGCTTTTCTGGAGCAGTCCAGGCGCTTTCGCCCTTCCCAGTGGATAAAAGAGCACAGTGAAAAACAGTCTCTGAACAGAAAGAGCTCTCGTCGTCAAAATCTTACCAGAGATTGCCACTCTCAGCAAGTCAAGCACCATGGCTGGGTGTTCACCAGTCCTGCCCATGTCAGTACAATTATTAAGAATTTCAAGTTGGGGTTGGTCCCCCTAGAATAGTGCACACACGTGCATTCGTGCCATGAGCACGCTGTCTGTTCACAGCTAGTAGCGAGAAATCACATTGTGGATACTCTTGAAAACCCAACTTATGTACCTGGTACCACGCAATGCCTTGCTCTTAACACTTACTTTTTGTAGATTTTTATCGGAATATTTTTTGACATATCAGTACAGGTTACAATATTTGATGTTGGCGGATGCCTTTATTGAAGTGTACAGGAATTAGCGTTTTAAAGACATGTCTTCCCAAATATAAGAACAGGTATCTTTTGGTTTTGTTTTATTTTGTATTAATATTCTGAGTAAGCAAAAACTTATCCTCAGGGTCAGCCATACATTATTGACCAGTACTTGATAATTTTTTCTGTATATGATGTCTACGTTTTTACACTAAATGAATATCAACAAGTGAGAGTTGCTATGGATATAGTGGCATTATGGCTGGACTCCCTTTTAAAAGAAAACTTGATACATTTCTGTGTATGCAGTCTTGTGTTTTTTGTATTTGTGGGTTGTTTTCTCCAGATTAGTAGTGGAGCTCGTGTTGGGATTCAGGTTCATTAAGCTTTAACGAACAGTGCTTTAGTAATTGCTATGAGACTGGTGGCGTGGTACTTTGGCAGAAGGCAAGGGTCGCCTATGCAAAGGGATCAAATTAGCCTGCAAAATGACACGTGGAAAACCCAACTTGCTGCCCGACCCCTTCACTTCACATTTTTAAGTTGTTTCGGTTCTTTCCTGCTAGCTCTGCCTACTGCCCACCTCTGAATTTGGAAGGAGTTGTCTGGGCCCTTGGCATGACTGTGTGTGTGTGTGTTTGTGTACACACCCGTGTGTGCTTGCGCCCGAGAGAAGGCGGAGACTTGCCATGTCCACATGCGCAGGCAGAAGCGACCCTTGCACTCAAGCCGGGTCTCCCTGCACGAGGCAGGGCCAGGGCGGCTTTCTGGCGATAGCTCGTCCAATACCTGAGCTGAGGCAGCAGGTGAGTTTCTTTGAGGATTCGTTTTGTGTTTTTACTTCAGGCCAAGTCTCTAATCTTCCTGGCCTCGGGGAGCTCCGCCACCTGAAGGGGCCTTTCCCCAGCCCTTCCGAGGCCCTCCTCCTAAGGCGGTTGGTGGCAGGTGCATGGCTGTGCGGCTGCTCCCCCGGCATTGGCGCCACTGTGGCCAGGGCAGAGGGCTTAGCTCGCAGGCAGGCCAGCTGCCTAGACTGGAATCAAAATGGACTTCTCACCTCCCGCCAGTCTCTTCCAGCTGCCACGGGGGTTGGCTGAGCCACGCGCCCTCAGTGGTGCCCTCTGCCACTCCGGGGAAGGCCCCAGCACCGCCTGCCCAGTGGCAGGCATGGTTGGTCTGTCCTTCTCTGCAGCCCTCACTACCTGAGCTAGGCTGGGAAGCCTTGGGCACAGTGGGTAGAGTGCCGGGTGGTGAAAGAGTCATCTCCTGCCCAGGTCCAAGTGCCAAAATGTCTCTTTAGAGCAAGAGGCAATATCACCCCTTCCTACCCCTCCTTCTCTCATGTGGGTTTCCCCTGTATTTGTTTATTTTCTAACTATGGGCCAAGATTGCCCAATTTTTGTAGTTCACTTATTTGCAGTTGTTTACCCGAATTGGGAGATAAGGTGAAATTTTCCCGAAGGCATGTGTGTGTGTGTGTGTGTGTGTTACGTCAACTGTTCTAGGAGAACAGTTTGGAGAATAGGACCATACTTCAGTGACTTTAAAACTGATCAGCTCACTGTCTTCTGCTGGGGAGACGGAGTGAACGGGGTCTCTGCGAACAAGCGTGGTTAGTACTGCACCAGCTCCACAAGTTTAGCCATAAGAATTTGTTTGGCACCGAGAACAGATCTATATATAAAAATGTAGTGGTCTTTGTTATGATTTTTTTTTTTTTAGACTACCTGATACCTGAAACAAATTTACAACTGTTAGTTACTGTCTTTTCATTGGCCCCAGGGTCCAACTTTCTATGTTGTTTACGTGGAAAATAACAGATGTTTGGATGTTGGGATTTCTTTTCAGGATTAGGGTTACCAGCCACCTGTGGCACCCTGCTATGGTGTCTGTGCTGGCAGTTTCTGCAGTTGCATCTAAACTTGGTACATGTAGTAAATAAGAATATGGTTGCACAGTTCAGTTGAAGTCCTCGACCTAGAGAAATTTCTTAGCATCTATTGTATTTAAAGATGTAAGGCCAATAATAATATAGAATGATGTTGACCTGTTAAGTATTCTCTGAAATGTAGCCAAAATACACTCTGAATTTATTCATTTTGCTGTAGTAAACATCAGTGGTTTACAGTGTGCTTTAGTACATATTCCTTTGACTTGGGATCAGAGAACAAGCGGGACCCTCTGAATTCAGTAGCGAGACTGCTGACTTAGAATGCCATTTGGAAAAAGTCTGAAATATTTGGGCACACAAGCAGTGCCTCATGGATGAGTTTTTTAGCTTTTACAATTTGCTCTGTTTCTGAAAGTTTGTGGTCTTGCTAATAGAATATTGTCTGCTCCATCCCCGCCTCCCCCCCCCAAAAAAACACGATTTCTTATTTAAGGTTTCAAGAACAGCAAAAAGTACTGACTTTCTAAGGCATTTGAGACCATGTTACTATGGTGTCCAAAATCCCAGCTGTTTCATTGTGTGTTGCTAATGCCAAAGACATTAACAACAAAACCATCCCACTCAGGAATAAACACTGGCTACCTACACCATCCAGATCCTTTTTGTATTTCGCCTATGACAGTTATGATGTCTCCTATAGCAAAGCCACATACATTAATGCATATTACTCCTTTCAATATTATTTTATGTTTCTTTCATTCTGGCAATAGAATCACATAAGGATTTACTGACATTTTTAACACTATCTCATCCAATTCTATTTCTTTTTTTCCCTGACCAGTCCCTCGCTCCCTAGTGCATTTTCCTTGGATTTAGACATCTGCCTCAGTGGACCTAAGGCTGCACTCGTTGCTTTGAGAAGCTTCGGAGACTTGTGTGGCACATCGAGTTAACTTGATTGATGTAACCCGTTTCTGCCTCCTGATGTAGGAGTTACAAATTCTGGAATCTAGATCAGATCATCCCTTCTGCCTTTTTTTTTCTTTTTTTGAGCCTCATTTTTCAGCTCACTCATTACATACTTTTAAAACACCAGGAAAATTACTGCTTGATATGGTCCTGAATTAAGACTAATTTTTAAATTTATTATGCTTTCTTACATAAATCAGCTATGGGTTTATATTAAACCTATTATAATATATAGTACTTACACTATATATTATATTGCCACACTCAGTACTAATGTGTCTGCTTCTAAAATCCACTCCCTCCCAAAATAATTAACAGTGAAATTTCTAAGGTCATATGAAAATAAGAATTAAGTCCTAAATGACAGTACTACTCTCAGTGCCCTCTGGTTTGTCCCTTCCCTCTAGGACATCAACTGAGTATATAGAAAGATAGACTTTGTCTACCAAACATTTACTAAACATCTAGCTAAACACATAAAGCCTCTGACTTAAAAAAAAAAGGTAAAATACATCTTTTCTATGTCTATTATAGAGATAATAAATTATAATTTTATAATTATAGTTATTTTTCATACTTACTGCACATGAAATGCTTTCCTTCTCTTGTAATTTTAGTGGCAACATCACTTGAATGCTCATAGTCTTTATAAACAGTGTCATTACTTCTGCTTTTATCTTTTGCGTTAGATACATCTTCTACAATGTTAACTGCTGGAAAATCCTTTGTGTTAAAAAAATATAAATAGCAAAAATACATGATGAGATATGTTGGAAAACCTTATATATATAATAATTAAGAAGACTATAGGGAAAAGGTTAGATTTCAACACACGAAGTAGGTGATCATTAAAAACACTTAATGAACTGGTTAGCTGAAACTTCAACAAATACAACTATGGGTGAACTTTGAATATGGGTAATAAATGCACATTAATCTAATATTTCTATTCTCTTCTTCTCAAGCTCAGAAAGAATTTATTTAGAGTCTGTTTATTCTACAGAGACTCCACAATCCTGACCTTGGACTTTTCCAAATTTTGACAGATAATCTCCACCTTGGTTTTCCCTCTTTTAAAAGGGACTATAAAATTTCCCTGAGATATCTACAACATGTACTTTCTGCCACCAATTACGAATGATAGCAAAGTAAGATGCCTGTTTCTATTTTTTTTTTTTTTTTACATTTTCTATTTGAAAGGCATTTATACAGAAAGAAGGAAAGACAGAGAGAGATCTTCCCTCTGCTAGTTCTCAAATGGCCACCACGGCCAGAACTGAGCTAATCTGAAACAAGAATCAGGAGCTTCCTCCAGGTTTCCCACATGTGTACAAGGTTCCAAGGACTTTAGCCATCCTCCGCTACTTTCCCAAGCCATACATAACAGGAGCTGAATCAGAAACGGGGCAGCCTAGACATGAACTAGCATCCATATTAGATGCCAACCCTGCAGGCAAAGGATTAATATGATACAACACACACTGGAACTCTGATGCTTTGTTCTTCTTGTTGTTTTTTTTAACATTTTTTTTCACTTATATTTTAAAGGTAGGGAGAGAGAGGGGGCTGGTGTGGGGTCTTCTCATAACTTTACCACTGTCTAATTCCTTTACATAATGCAGTAGTCGGAGGTGGGCCTTGCCAAAACCAGGAGCCAAGAACTCAATCGTTCTCTCCCATACAGTTCGCATGGACTCAAGCATGTGAACTTGCTGCCTCGCAACTTGCACTTTAGAAGGAAGCTAAAGTCAGGAAAGGTGCTGCAATTTAAACCCAGGCACTGTAACATGGAATGTGGGCGTCCAAAGGAGCAATTGAATTCACTGTACCACAGTGTCCACCCCTGCCTCTTATTTTTGCACGAGCTAAGACACTTGAAGATTTAGAAAGCAAAATACTAATACATCTGAAAGATATCAGTGATAACAGAAAAAAGTATGGAGTTTTGCCTTGCAAAATCAACAGAAGGCAATATTTTAAAAGGCCAGTTATCAGTCCTTAGGTATCTGCACTTGTTAGTACACTATTCATTTCTTTAATGTTAAAAATATTCTTTGGCATTATACATAAAGATTTAATAACTGTTGTTTCATGACTCCTGGCTTTAGCCTGGCCAATTGCTGGCCATTTAGGCCATCTAGGGTGTAAACCAGCAAATGGAAAATCTCTTTTTCTCTGTTTCTCCCTCTTTCTCTAACTCCAACTTTCAAATAAGTAAACAAATCTAAAACATAAAAGTGCTGTTATATGAAATCAATAATAACAAGCTTTGTCTTCCTTTACCTAAACATTGAAATTTTTTGAAGGAATCATTATTAAAAGAAATTAGTCTTGAAAAGATACTTGCATTTTGTTTCATGCATCTAATTTAATCTTTCTGTTCCTTATCTATACATTTGTAATGATTGACATGTTAGATTTGTTCAAAAACTAAGATAAATTGACATTTTTAAAACATAAATGTGATTTTTTGTATTTTGACATGTTTTAGATGCTTCCAAAAATGGATTATTGCTTCAATCATGAGATTTTGCAATTTTGCTTTGATACAATGGTAAATGCATTTTATGACATTTAAAAATTATAAAACAATATTTCAATGTGTTGAAGTTCAAATTCCCACCTAATCATGGTATTGGACATACAATATTAGCTACTATTTTGGCATTATTTTGAGATACAACATTCTATTTTTCTAGGCAACACCTCACAAAAAACATATTTGAAATGTAAAAATTTATAGACTAGCATTTTTAAAGTGGAATGATTTTTAAATTATCCATCAACTATATTATCAAGCTAATTGAAACTTTGCAGACCAGTTTTTAACCCAGGCTTGGAATTTCTTTAAAATTATTCCATAGAAAAAGTGTTAAGTCAATTCTCAGCTTATAGCTTCCTAAGTTCAAAAGATTAACAGTTAAGCAATTTCTCACAGCATTTCTTTAAAAAAAAAAGTGCTAATGATTCCATAACTCATACTTAGTAATATAATCTTTTCAAAATGTTAACATGTATCTTGAAAACTACTAATGCTTTCCTAGCTAAAATAATATTGCTAAAATTCTTACCTTAGAATGATGTTTACAGTTACCTTGCACAGCTTCTCCACAAATAAAAATACATAGATTTAAGAACAAAAGTGAGACTTGGTATGGACCCATCATATTTTTCTTGAGTAAATGAAAAACACTTCTTGAAATATCAGTCCACTCTCTGTGGAAAAACCTAAGTGCACAGAGTCCTCAGTTCAAAATTCTGGAACGTGTACAACAAAAACAGAAGCCAATGCTTGCTGGTTTCCATGCCCTCATTTGAAACAACACCCTTCCTATGAAAAACAAGGTAGCTTTAGAAATCCTATCATTTTAAGTTAGGCAAATTCCTTGTGTTTTGCTCCCTACCTACATGATAAATCCATTCTTCTGCCATACAGGCAATAAAGGGATAAATAAGTAAATTCATAATAAATTGACAGATAAAGATAAGTCTAATGTGCATTTATAAATTCATCTATCTTTTATGGATCAGAATATTCTTTTTGTCTTGAATAGCTATACCATGATAACTGTGAAAAGACTTGCACAAAAATAGAATGTAGAAGTGACTGATGGGATGGGAAGAATATCACACTGGAAATATTTTGAGGAAATATTGAATAGAAATTTGTTCGATGTGGACATCAGAGCAGATAATACAGACTTAAAAAAATACTTTTAACTGATTGCAACTATTAGCAATGGTCATATTAGCCATATAGATGCCAAATTTGTAGGTCTCTTATTTATGACTATATCATTGAAACTCCATGGAACCAGCACTGTGGCATAGTAGGTTAAGTGCTCACCTGCAATGCTGGCATCCCACATGTGTACCAGTTTTAGCTCCAACTGCTTCACTTCCAATCCAGCTCCCTGCTAAGACATCTGGAGAGGCAATGGAGGATGACCCAAGTGTTTCAGCCCCTACACCCATGTGAGAGACCCAGGTGACATTCTTGGCTCCTGGCACTGACCTGATGTGGCACTGGCCGTTGCAGCCATATGGTGAGTGAACTAGCAGATGGAAGATGTCTCTCTCCCTGCCTCCCTCTCAATCTCTGTTACTGTGCCTTTTGGGAAAAAGAAATATATTAGGTTCTGAACATAAGGAAATTATTGTTACAGGAAAATCACCATTCTCTGACTGATCTTTGCTAGATCAATGCTTTCATGAGTCTGCAGCTTTTCTTTCACAATGTTTCCTTGCCTTCATTCTACAAGCCTATCTAAAAGTCATTATTCTAAAATGAAGAGGCAAATCCAAACTTTCCTGAGTTGTCTTCTGCTTCAAAATACATTTTCTACAACTTCTTTCTTAGACTGAGAGCTAAAGGGTACAGATCAAGCCATGATATTTATAGTATGAGTGTATAGTAACTGATATAAGTAGGCATTCATTATCACTTAATAAAGAAATACATTAATTATCTATTTTACCACTTTACTTTCTCCTCACTTACTATTCAAACTGAAACTTGCCAATGAGGCAGCAAGAGGTGGTTAGGAATATAGATCTTCTGGAAACCTGAGTAAGTTAGCTGATTACTATAGTTCTTTGTTACCATAGTTCACTTACCTCTCCTTTATAGTGGGTGTTTTTGAGAGAATTAAATAACGTAATATATGTTAAACACTGGCACACTGCGTGGGAAACAGCAAGCATTCAAATGTTTGTGTGATTTTGATTTCATTTGGTCTATATGCCATTCCAATGTTGCTGATAAAGTATAGGGCCCTTATAATCTGTATCAGGAGTAAAAGAATATGTATCCTTAATGTTATATTTCCAGTTGAAGTCCTCCTACAAAATGGAAATGAAGACGCCAAAACTTTAGCCATTTTTAAACAGCCAGACATTAAAATTCTTTGTTCTTTCACAGCCTGTCTGCAGACATATTTAGAAAATCCTTATTTGAACAAGAAAATATTTCAGCAGAAGATGGAAAATGTAGGCTTAGCCAAAATGAAAGCGAATGCACAAATACTGTCCATCACAAGCTGTCACACAACTTTTAAGGTTATAACAGTTGTTAAATAAGATGCAGTTGCCTGCGGCTGAATCCACACTCTGAGTCCCTCTATAACAAACCACAATGTACCTTCTGAGTGAATTTTGGTTTTGGGAAAAAATGATACTCAGATTTCAGCCAATCACAAAACTTGCTTCTGCAAGTTACAGATAGTCTACTAGTCTGTACCAATAAGGCAGATGTCTTGAAGTGGCCACTCACATGACTTCTCTACCTGGCCTCTGTGTTGAGCCTCTACATGCCCCTGCTCTCTGCTTTGGATCTGAGGGCTGTCTTTGCTCCAATCTTTATTTACTCTGTTAATTTGTCTGATGTGTTTCTTTTAACTTAGAATTTAAATTTGGCAAGTCATGAGAGCATGCATTGTAACCATAAAGTGACTGTTAGTCTCCTTTGTAACATTTGTTGTCTATTCATCACTACCAACATATCAGACCATCCTAATGAAGTTGGATTCTAATAAACACCTCATATTTAACACATTTGAAGCCTAATACTTACTCTATCTCTCCCTATTTATTTCTTCCCATGTTTGCAAATGACAAGCACTTTTATCCACTTATTCCGGCCCTAAATCTGAGTTCTGTTTGACTCTCGTCTCATCTCTCACTTGCCTCACCTACCCATCAACATAGCTTATTGACTGAAGTTCAAACTGTAAATACGTCTTGCCACTTCTATCACTGCCATCCTAGTTCCATTCTCTGTCATCTTTCTTCTCACCTGCAACTAGTTTCATTGTTTCTGGTCTTATTCCCTATGGTCTAGATTCCCCATAACAACCACCCTAATTTTTTTGGAGGTTTAAACTAACATTATGTTAAGCTACCACTTAGGACATCCTAACCTATATTGGATGAAATTTGCCTTTACTCCCCATCCTGCTTCTTCCTAATGATCTGTAAGGCTACAAATGATGGCCCAAGTATTTGAGTCCCTGCCACCCATAAACTAAACCCATCTGGAAATCCTGGCTCCTGCTTCAGCCTGGGCCAGCCATGGCTATTATGGGCATTTGAGAGGTAAACCAGTTGATGGACGTTTCCTCTTCCCCTCCCCCCATTCTCCCTGTACTCTACCCTATGAATACATAAATAAGGAAACCTTATTTTTAAAAAAACTAAATTATTTTTCTTAATGATAATATAACATGCAACAGGGCAATAGATAGCTAAGAGTTACAAGATACCAGACTAACAGACAAAACCACTTTCAGAAAAACAGATGTGCCCAAATACTCCAAATTGCAATCACAATTTTATCATTTTATTTGTATTTTATATTGCCCTACTTTGCCAGCTTACAAATCCTGAGAGACAGACTTGTGATATTATTAATAGGAATATAATCAAGGGCAATTCCTGTAACTAGAACAACTTAAAACTTGCCAAGCTAGATAATTGTCCAAGTATATCTGTTTAGTTATATATCTTATTCTCTTGTCACACTCCTAAAAGGGACTTAAAAGCTTTGTGTCTAAAATCAAAATTGGAATTCATTATGGCACTTTAAAAATCTCACTACCAACAACACATTCCAATTTGTTATAGTAGCCAAGTTTGTAAAAATTTTGTTTCAAGCAGTTACAGCTGGAAAAGTTATTAATTCGACTGTAAAAATGAAAACCATGATATACAAAGGCAAAAGAGGCATTTGAATAATGAATAATCTTTGCTTCGTACATTTTCCACTAAAAAACAAACAAAAACTGGTCAAAATATAGTCAGAAAAGCTTTTATGCTGAACAAAAAATTCTAGGATTTCTCCCAAGTTTTATTCATATAAACTTTAGTTGAAAAACACAACTCCAGACACGATTTCAATATCATGACCTAGTATATCCTCCCAAGAGATGGCTAGCTTAAATCTGGACTCCTTTCCAGGCCGTCTTTGCCGTTCGTCCATTTCCAGAATCTGGAAGCAAGTGAGGGCCGTTGGGAACTTGTGAAATGTAGACTTTCTAAGTAGGGCAACGGCAAAGAAGATGACAGCAGAGGAAAGGGAGAAGCATCAACAAGTGGGTGGGAGGAATGCAGGAAAGAGAAATTTGTACTTTTTTTTTTTTTTTAAGAGCTGGCGTTTGAGAATAGCGATAGTGCTCACAGGCTAGCTCAACAACAAACCCGACACTTCATTATCCAGAGACTTTATTTCAGAATCTGCCCAGTGGCATTTGCCTGCTCTGGGAACTTTGCCTCGCAATACCCCGGGTTAACAGCCTCCTGGAACGGGAGGTCCGGGGCTCTAACGAACATTTAACGGTCCCCTCGTGCCACCACGTGGCGCCCTGGGGTCGCGGGGGACGTCGGGGGCGGCCGCTGGCGCCTCCTATTGGCTCCTCGAGAGCGGCGCCCGCCCCGCCGCTCCGCCCCAGTTTCAGTCGCGAAGGACGCGGCGTCGGTTGGTTACCAAGATGGCGAAGGCTCGGGTGCCGCCGCCACCTTTGCTTTCGCCGGGCACCGTCTTCGCAGTCGCAGCCTCCGTCGCCACCACAGTCACTAGCGCCGCACCGCGGGACCCGGGGCTGCCGCGACCAAGCTGCTGGCGCTGGTGACGCGGGGCCTGAGAGAACCGAGCTGCCATGAGGGAGCAGGCGCTCGGGGCCAGCGAGGAGGCGGCGCTGAGGTGAAGGATGCTGGCCGGGAGGCCGGGAGCCAGGAGCGCCGTCGCCGGACTGGGCGCTGACTCTTCCGACCCCGGTGGCGGAGCGCCCCTCAGCCCTCGAGAGAGCGCCGGGCGTCGCCGACCTGCCGCTTACCTGTATCCTTCCAGCCCGTGGCTGCCGGGGTGGTGGCGGTGTTGGCAACGGGGCCGTGTTTTCCCCTCCCGTTCCCCAGGACCAACTGACGCAAGGTGATGCAAACCAGCAAGTCATCCTAGTGCGGGTGCCCTCCCTCCCACCATCCCATCCGTGCCCGCTCCCCGCTCGGCCCCGTTGTCCCACCCCACTCATCAACTTTGTAAAATGTTGGGGACTTTTCAAATATACCAACTGTGTATGCTGTGCGAGTTATCATTATTATTATTATTATTTTGCCTTTTAGAATTGTCACTTTCTATTCTTTCCCGTCAGATTAATCACTTCTTGATAAATGCCACTTAGAGAAATGAGAAAACAGTGAGAGGTTTTGCTATCCTGCGTTGTGACAGCAGCACAGCCGCGGTGTGTTTAGCAGGGCTGCTGGCTCCCTGGGGTGGTGTGTGTTCTCTCTGTGTGCGTCCAGGCTCGTCAGACAGCCGAGAGGAAATGAGAAGCGGGGGGTCCCGACACCCCCAGGCCGCGTTGCCTCTGACTTGACCTCAGGTTTGGTTGTTTGATGTTACTGGTGGTTTCATTTCTCTTCACAAATGAACCCCTGCTTCCCTAACCCCGTCGTCTGTTTGCATGTTTGCATCTTCTGGAATGTCCTTTTAACTTTTGGAATTTTAACAGCAAGCAAGCAAGCAAGCAAGCAATTTGTGTGGACTGTGTGCTCCCGGGCAGACTTCGTCCCAGAGAGACAGAGAGAGAGGGGTATGTGCAGAGCCTCGCCGAGGGCAAATGTCACTCCTCTGAACAAGGTGCCCTTCACCTGCCAGCCCCTCTGTATTTTCTTTCTTTGGACAGGTTTTCAAAATGATGTCCCACAATAGCAGCTTTCACTTCCTATCATCTGTTCATAATTAGCCCCACTCAGTTTGACTTTTACCCTTTCTAATCGCTAGCACTGTCCTCTCCAAGATATACACTGTGGTCTGTACACGGTTACGTTCTGCGTGCATTTGACTCTGCTGCACGGACATTTTATTTTCTTGGACACTGCACTGCTATTACACTGACACCGATTTATAATAAACTCAGAAAATAGGAGAAGCATTGTAAATCATTCTTGGACAGTGTATCATTCTATTTCACTAATTAAATGATCAAAGACTTCACTTTGTAAAGTTATAGTGCTTTTTTCATTGATACAAACACCACATACTCATACATAAATACTCATATGTATAACAAGACTTTAGAAAGTTCATATAGATGTTCATAAGAAGTTCATAAGATGCATGTCATGAATCACATAATACATGCGGTTTCTGCCTCCATGATCAAGCAACAGGGATAGTAATATCTAGGCTTAAACAAGATGGCTAGCTACTAAAACTCACCATTTTGCAGTAAGAAAGGTACAACTTCCTTTCTAGATATTACTGCACAATATGTAAGAGAAGAAGAGAAACTTTTAGCTGTTTCTGTGCTAGAAAAGAACAAGATTTTCTTCCCTTTCTGCTTCATCGTTATCAATCCTTCAAGAATACTTTACACAAATATAAATACATGTATGTGATTGTGTTGGGCATTAGTCTTGAGATAGAATGAAATCTTGTAAAAACTGCAGATAAATTATGGCCTGTGATACAAAGATGATTAAAGAGCAATATAATTGAAAAGAAATAAGTTCCCACTAGCCTAGATACAAACAACCAAAAAGTCCAAAGACATGGATTTTGACATATGTAATACCATTACTAAAACACCATAGGATACTGAAATTAATACACTTCAAATGAACAAATCATGTACAATGAAATTTACCATATGTTTGTATTATGTTTTACCAGGATGAGTCAATTTGAGGCATAAAATAATTTTATTTAAATGAACCCCATAAAAAGAATTTGAACCTGTATTTTTTGGAAAGAAAATTTTAAACAGTGTTTATTCTGGACAGGACAAATCTGTGTGTCCTGTATGCAATCTGTGACTTCAGCTACATTCCCATATATTGATGAGATACTGAATAAACTGGCAATCAAATGAGAATTTTTAAAATTTTAAATAATTCAAAACAGAATTACTGACAAATTTCATGGGTAATTAATGAAGTGGAAATCACTAAATAGGAAAACCAATCCTATTATTTTAACTTGTAATATTTTTTATTTTTTATAAAATTATATTATTACAATTTGAGAGAAGTCAAATTTTAGGTAATAACTTTCCAATGAGTTGGTGTTTAGCAAAACCAAAATGCTCATTTACTTTTTTGGGAAAACTCAGGATTCATATGACTATATTTGGTTTGGTTTTATTAGTCTCTTATGGTTGTAACCTATAGTAAAATCTACAGGAAAATAACTGTCCTCCCAAACATTCCAATTATGTTGCTATTTCATTTTTAAATTTTTTATATGTGGCCTTTTATACTGCATGTTAAGGATGCATCAAAATGTTTAATTCATCAGATTAGTTAAATGCAATCTTCTCTCCTTTTCTTATATACATGCCTAAAAGGCAGCTTGTTAGTAAGTACTCAGATACTTATCAAATTAATGAAAATATTCTGTCTCTTTATCTAAGCTCATAAATTATAAAAGCAATCCCTGCCCAAGAATTAAGATAAGCCATAAATTCTAGTAGTGACTGGGGAGGGAGTAGGGGAAATCCCAGAGCCTATGGAACTGTATCATAAAATAAAATAATAAAAAAAAAGTTCTAGTAGTGAGTCACAGTTTTTTTTTTACAGTTGGTCATATACTAAAACTAATGTGTAAACATGCCAATTTTTTCATGAAAGCATTATTACATCATTAGGATGAGTCTGTAATTTTATTTCTCTGATATCACTAATATTCAACTATAGAAAATGTAAACCATTTTTCTTAACTTGATGCTTTCATCAGTGATATGAAAATATATTTAGAGAAAAATTTAGAAGAGGAGCGCCAGATATTATTGCAACAACAAAAAATATGCCGAAATCGAGCACGTAAACATTTTGTGGATTCAAACCGGAGAAAAAAGTAAGTGATTGTATTAGATTCAGAAGCATAAGCATTCAGTCAACATTGTTTCACTGCTTCTTAAAAAAGTGATGACCATTCTCTATTTATAAAACACTGACAAGGATTCATGCAGCGTCGTAAATATTTCTGCCTGAAGTGCAACGAGAGTAAGTCCATTGTGCAGTTCACCGACTATGACCGTAGTGATCTTATCACAGAACCTCTTGCTGTACAGTGTCATCACACATCGTAAGACATATTTTTTGTTTTTTTTTTTAAATCATTTGATGAATTAAAGGACTGCCAACTAAGTCCATCATTTTATTTTTCACATCTGTGTATTGGTTTTCTAAATATGCTACCTTCATTCCTTCAATTTAAAAAATGGGAAATGTGAACAAAGTGGAGATGTATAAAGAATGATTTTATAAATAACTGCCTAAAACTATTTCGTAGTATAAGTTGGAAATTAAAACAGTAAAATTGCAAAGTATCCAATCACTACCTGGTATTTTTCAAGATTTTTTAATTGTTAGATATCTCTCAAGACAATAATTATGACACATTGTAATACTATTTTGCTGCCTTCTCCATATTTCTACAATATGTGAATTGCAGAAAACCCCTAGAGTCTACTAACAACATCATCGGTCATATGCTTCAAATCTCACTTGGGGAATAGAATTGTTTGCCTGTAATTTTTTGTGCTTGTATTTTATAGTTCTCTTTAATTAACTCTTTAATTTTCTGAGATAGTTGGAATGATTTAGTGAGGCTTGCTTTTGGTTTTGTTTGGTTTGTTTTCTGGTTTTCTCTCTTAGTTCCTGAATCTTCTGAAAGGTACATGATTGTATTCAGTAAAGATGAATAGACTTTTGAGTCAGAGACCTTAAAAAACAAACTCAGCTTTATTCACTAGAATGTTGATTTCATCTCTTTGAGCCTCAGTTTGCTCTTTTATAATTGGAATTATAAACATCTTAGTCAAGAAATTCTTATGTAGGACAAAAAACCAAAATTCTATAAAATTTCAGAATACATATGAAAACACCACAGTGTGACAGTTCCTCCTTACATTATTAATAATTTATATTCTAATCATTGACTTGATTTATGAAATAGCAGGTTTTATAAATGGAATTTTACTCATATTCTCTCATCAAATACTCATTAAATTCTAATGCGGAAAATAATAGAGGAGAAAATTTTATTTAAAAATTTTAGGAGGCAGAAAATTTTCCAATATAATTTTACTATGCTTTACTTTCCTATTACCCTAGAGTGAAATGTAAAGGCATAAAAATTTATCTTAAAACAATCATTTGTCCTTGTATTTCACCTTTTATAAATGGAGCCAAAATATCAATACATTTCTGGATTTCAGAAACTTGTCTATGGATATAGTATTTTTGGTTACCATTATCTTTCCATTTATCTATTTTTTGGAAAGAAAATGTTAAACAATATTTATTCTGAAAAGGACAAATCTGTGTGTTCTTCATGTAATCTGTAACTTCAGCTATAGTCTCAAGTACTGATGACATACTGAATGGCAATTAAATTAGCATTTTTTAAGTTCTAAATAATTCAAAGCATAATTACTGACAAATTTAATGTTTATTCTGTTCACTTAAATTATACTTATGGAGATTTTTATAAGTGTTTTGTTTTTCTTGGCCATTTGTGATTTATACTTCAACAGTGCTGTCCCCTGAATTAATCAAAGGAAAATGTTCCTAGCATCAAGAACTCTTTGTTTATTTCTACTAATTATTTAATGTGAACAGAATAGATATTTTTGAGTTTCTATTGGCCATTTTTTGCATTATATATTTTGTCACATTCTCCAGTATTCAGTGTGCTGCTTTGTAAACCAAGTAATTTTAAGATGTACATACAAAGGAAATTATTTTCTAAATAGTTTTCACTTTACTACTCAGGACTGTCATTTAGTAAATAAGTAAATGGATATTTTTTCAGACAGCATACATAGCTAATTGAATATCAATAATTCAGCAATATATAAAGGAAAAAAAGTATTTTTTAGTCTTAATTTTAGACTTAGAAAATGGCAATAATCTGATTTAATGCACCGTAATTAGGCAACAAAGTTGAAATCCTAACTCCAAACGGACTCCCAAGTTAACTCCAAAAATTTTATTATTTTAAGTGTGTTTATATAAAGAGAACAGATTTCATGTCTTTTATATATACAGTTTTAAGCACATATTGATAATTTCTACCCTACTTTCTCCCCTCCTTTCTCATTCCTTACTCTTTTTCTTGTTAGCTATTGTGATAACATACCCTCAATTTACTTTATACTCACAGGCTTAATCCTCTACTCTATAAAAAATTAAACAAGTTGAAATTAGACCACTGCTCAAAAGGAGTATTCACAGGGGCTATAAATCATAAACAAATCTCAAGATGAAAATTTCATTCATATGCATTACATTTTTGTACTTTATATATTTTTTGCACAAGTCAAAGAAATATGATACTTGTATTTGGGGTCTAGCTTACTTCACTAAGCACAACGGTCTCCAGTTGCATCCACTTTGTTGCAAAAGACTAGAAAACATGTCACCTGAAATGTTTCCTCATAGTTAAAAGACTCTTAGCATTTATCTTAATTATTTTGCAATATAAAATGAATTATTGTTAATCTGGGCACTATGCTATACAGTAGAAAACCATACTAATTCATGATAATTTTTAAGAAATATTTATTTCAATGGCAAAGTGACACAGAGAGAGAAAGAAAGAGATCTTCAGTCCTTTGGTTCATTCCTCCACTGCTGCAACAATTAGGGCTTGTCCAGGGCCAAGTCAGGGGCTAAGTACTCAATCTGGGCCTCCCAAGTGGGTGTCTGGTGCCAAAGCACTTGGGCTAACTTCTGCTGCTTTGCCAGGTACATGAGAAGGAAGCTGGACTGGATGTGGAGCAGCTGGTACTTGAATGGGGCATCCCAGTATGGGATGGGGGGTCACAAGAGTAGCTTAAGCTGTTGTGCTATACCATCATCCCTTCTACTATCTGAAACTTTGTACTTCTTAATCAGCACTTCCCTAACCCCCAGGCCACTTTTATGGCTTTCAATAGTTTGAGGAGAATTAAAATCAGTTAATCTTAAAAAGTTTCACAGAAATGGGCAATGAAGCAATCCAGTCCTAGGCTTTTCTTTGTTGAAAGGGTCCTTATTACTGATTCAGTTTCTATCTTGGTTACTGGTCTATCTAGCTTTTCTGTCTTCATTTTTCACTGTGGTTATTATGTATCCAGAAATGTACCTAGATTTCTACATTTCCCAGTCTAGCTGCTTATAGTAATTCCTTATGGAATTACTTTCTGTGGTATCTGGGTTTAATATCTTCTTTTTCATCTCAGATATTATTAATTTGGGACTTCTCCATTTTTATTGATTAGTTAGGCCAATGCTTTTACCAATTTTGTTTATATTTTTTAAAAAATTAATTTTATGAAGTGTTTCTATCCTTTATTGTGCACTGTCACTTCTCAAGACACAGAATATTTCCTCACCACAAAGATCCCTCACATTGCCCTTATAGAGCTAGACCCACTTCTGTTTTACCCCAGCACTCTTTTTTAAGGGTGAATAATATTTCTTTCTCTGTATAAGCATATGCCAAATTCTGTTTATCCATTGATAGGTCAATGGACACAGGGATTATTTTTCTATTTTTACCAGTCATAAATAATGCTACTATTAAAGCAGGTATATTGGGTCAGCCTTGTGATGCAAAGGGCTAATCCGCTGCCTGCAAGGCCAACATTCCATATTGATGCTGTTTCAAGATCCAGCTGCTCCACTTAATTCAGCTCCCTTCTCCGGAAGGTAATAGAGGTTGACCCAAATTCTTGGACACCTGCCACGCAAATGAGAGAACCTAATGAAACTCCTGGCTCCTGATTTCAGACTGGCCCATTGCCAGCTATTGTCGCCATTTGTGGAGTAAGCCAGCAGATGGAAGATCTGTCTCTTTCTTTCTCATCTTATCTGTAGCTCTACCTTTCAAATAAGTAAATAAACTTCTTTTGTAAAATAGGAAAAAGGCAAATGTATAAATTATGAACCCCTATTTTCTTTTGGCTATATTCCCAGAAGCAAAATTGCTTGATGATATAGTAATTATATGTTTAAGTTTCTGAGGAATCAGTGTGCCATTTGTTACTGTGACTGTATCATTTTACATTCCCACAAGCAGTACAAAATGATTCTAGTTTCTCCATATCCTTGCCAGCAATTGTGTTCTTTCTTTGGTGACCTTTTGGTGACATCCATCTAAATGAGTGTTCAATTATATTTCATTGTGATTTTATTTTCATTTTCCAAATTATTATTTGTGATAGTAAATATTTTTACATGTGCTTCTTGGCATTTGTATACCTAATTTGGAAAGATTTCAATTCAAGACCCTTGTCAAAGTTGTCTTGTAGACGTTTTCTATATATCCTAGATCCTTATCAGATGCTTAGTTTACAAGCATTTTCTCCCATTTCTTACGTTATTTTTTCATTTTATTGGTGGTGTCCTTTGATAAATAAAATTTTCCAGTTATTGAGTCGTTTATCTATTTTCTTCTCTATGTTTTTAGTGTCATAGCCAAAAAACCATTGCCAAATTTAGTGTGAAAAAACTTTCTCTGTTGTCTTCTGAGTTTTAGCTCTAATGTTTATATATTTGACCCATTTTGAGTCTTGTACATACTGTAAGGTAAGGGTTCAGTTTATTTTTTTGCATATGAGCATCTTTTTCTTCCAAGATTATTTGCTGAAAAGCTTGTTTTTCCTCAGAGAATGGCTTTGGCACCCTTACAGAAAATTGAATAACCATATATGAAAGGATTTATTTCAAGACTCTGTGACATTGGTATATAAGCATATCTTTGTGTTAGTACCATACTGCTTTGAATACTACAGATTTGTACTGAATTTTGAAATCAGGAAAGGTAAAACTTTGTTCTTTCTAAAAATTATTTTGGCTGTTCAGGCTTCAAGAACTTGGGCTACCTTCCCAGCATATTAGACACAGGCTGATTTCAGGGAAGAGCATTCAGTACTTGAACTACCACTCCATTATGAGCTTCTGGCATTCAAAGTAGCAGCTTAGGACACTGTGTCACAATGCCAGCCTCATCTTTCTATATAGAATACCATGTCATGTATCATTTTCAGTGCTTATTTTCTTTTCTTGCCTAGTCAGCTGGCTTAGACTTCCCGTGCAGTTAAGTCAAGTAGTGGAAGTACCTCCTTGTGATAGGATGGGACTGGGAGGTATTTTGGGACACAAAAACTATCTACCCCGCGTAGCCTTCTGCCTACCACAGGGGTTGGACCACTGAAGATCTGCTGTTTTACTTCCAGAAGTAAAGTTGTTTAGACTCGAATAATGCTCCATCCAGGGAAGGTCTCGAGCTGGATGGTTAATAGTAACCCAAAGCACTAAAAATATTAAAACAGTTCTTACCAACCATCCCCTAACCTTGTGCATTCCAAGGAGACCCTTTATTTAGAAGCTCCTCTTTGAGGGAGTTAACAAATTTGCCTTTCCATTTTTCTCATTTTCCAGCAGATAATTATTAAAATCACAGATATACACACACATATTTTCCAAGTACAAAATTAATGTTTTGAGACCAAACTGCTTATCTAGAGAACAAAAATTCTCTAGTTGACCAGGAGTAGATAAAACAGAAAAGTTAAGAAAAAAGGAATGACAAGAATGACAAGAATTATGAGAGAAGTTTATATCTTCCAGTCTTTCAAGTTAGAAATTAACATTTTTTGTATGAATAGCTTGGATTTTTATCACGATTCAAATTTGATATGACAGCTAATTTTAAACCTTTGGTCTAAAAGAAAAGGTGACACAGTAGTTCTTGTATGTCCCATTATTTATCTAATTTTCACATTACAGAAAATAGCATAGCTTCCTTAAAAGAGAATTTTTTGTTTGGTTTGGTTTGGTTTTTAGAAAAGATTTTCTTATGCAAAGCTTGGGAGATGGGAACAGCTATTCAGACCTTCCAGAAATTAGAATGGGTCTAAGTATTCTCTTGCAAGTAACCTTGAGTTACCATTCACAAAGTTATTTAAATTCGTATCAAGTACCTGTTTTTTTAAGTACAAAGTGTGAAAAGGAAGTTTATCACAGGTGTTAAGATGCTAGTTTGGACGCCCACATTCCACATCATAATGCCTGGGATCTGGTCCTGGCTTCCAACTGCACAGCCCTGCTAATGTTCACGCTGAGAGGCAGTAGCTATGAAAGTACCTGAATCCCTGCCTTCCACAAAGGAGACCCCAATGGAATACCTGGCTCCATCCTGGGGAAGGTTCAGCTCTGTGTGGATTTTTTGGAGAATGAAACAATGGGTGGAAGATCTCTCCCTTTCCCCCTTTTACTCTCTGCCTCTCAATAAATAAAAGCTATCTTTAAAATGTTCTATGTAACTTTTGAAATGTAAACATTATTTAACAAACTCATAATGTTTTGAAGCTATTTCCTTTGTTGTGATTTTTTGACTTACTGCCTATTTCTGTTATCTGCTTTATGTTTTAAACATAGAGCTTTTGAAGAAAAACGAAAAGAACAAGAAGAAAAAGAATACCAAATCAGAGAACAAATTCTTCAAGAAAGAAAACAGAAACTTGAAGAAGTTACTGAAAAATTTCAGCGTGCCCATATTCCTCTTTCTCAGCGGAGGAGAGCAGGTGCCTTTATTTGTGGATTAATATAAGAACAAAAAGTAATGTTATAGTTTGATTTTACTTGAGTGGATAATTAAATGGTATTTTAGAAACAAATTGGAAATTCAGTCTAAAAATGACCCATGTATATTTTGAGTAATAGAACTGTAACTTAATGAAAAATAGTTACTTGACTGTGGCTTAATTTGCAAACAATTTGTTGACTCTAGGAAATTCTGAAAACTCACAAATTTGAATCAACTACAGACTGGATTAGTGCTCTGTCTTTTTAAATTGATTTAGTAGAAAAAGTGGCTTATAAACATACCATTTAAGAATTGAGTTCAGGAAATCACTGTCACATTCATTCGGGTATTTTATTCACAGCTTGTTCCCAAATCATATTTGAAAAAGTAAGTCTCAGAATAATGTAAGCCAGCAATTTAAGACCTATAATCATAGTTATGAATTTAAATAAGTTTGGATGGTTCTTTGTGTCACATTTACACTAAGAGTATTGATCCTTCGTAATTAGATTATCACCATTCATCAGGGAAATGGATTCTCTTTAGAGTTCAAGTTTGAACTAACCCTTACATAGTGATAAACTGTTTTGCCTAAGTATTGTAGGGTAACTGTGAATTTTGTGGTATCTTAGAAGTCAATGACAATCGAGTATTTTAGGGAAGAAAACAGCAAAGAAAGTTTGTGCTATCAATGAGGAACTGAAGGTAGAAACGCACTTACCCTGCTTCTGAGCTTTACATTATTTGTAGCACACAATGGGAGAAAAGTAATGACTCTGCCTGAGACACCAGAGAAACAATATCCTTGAAAGACAGTTATGTTTCCACTTGAATAACAGAGGGAAGAGAATATTTCTAGAGAAATAGTAGAAATGGGATATTTTGAATACGTAAGTATACATTCAAAGGCTTTGGGGAATGAGTACAAACAGAATATCCAGTTGGTGTAGAGGTTATGCAGATCAGGGTGAGTGTCTATAATAATGCATCACCTTGAACAAATTACCTTCTTGGTTTTGCCTTGGTTTCCTCAATTGTAAAATTAAAATAGCATCTGCTTCATAGGCAATAGTGATGATTACCTTAGTTAATACTTGTAAAGTACTTGAAAATAAGATCTGTGGTGTGGACAATTAACCTGGATGTAAGGCACCAGTTAAAATATCCACATCCATCATTGAAGTATCTGTGTTCAATCTCTGCCTCAAACTTCTGTTTCCAGCTTGCTGGTAATGTAGACTCCGGTAGTCAGCAGTGAAGGTTCAAGTCATTGGGTTCTGCCTCCCACATGGGAGACCTGGGTTGACGTCACAGCTGTTGGCTTCAGCCTGCCTTAGTCCCAATCATTGCAGACATTTGGAGAGTCAACCAGTAAATGAGTGCTTACTTTTTGTCTCTGTCAAGCTCTTGATCACCACATGTCAAGCAAATGAAGGTTGTTTTTTTTTTAAGATTTATTTATTTTTATCAAAAAGGTGGTTATACAGAGAGGAGAAGAGACAGGAAGGTCTTCCATCTGATGATTCACTCCCCAAGTGGCCACAACAGCCGGTGCTGTGCCAGTCCAAAGCCAGGAGCCAGGAACTTCTTTCCAGGTCTCCCACGCATGTTTAGGGTCCCAAAGCTTTGGGTCATCCTCTACTGCTTTCCCAGGTCACAAGCAAGGAGCTGGATGGGAAGTGGGTCATCAGGGATTAGAACTGGCGCCCATATGGGATCCGGGTGCATGTAAGGCGAGGACTTTAACCATTACGCTATCGCACTGGGCCCTGGAATCCCAGTGCATGCAAGGCAAGGACTTTAATCACTATGCTATTGCGCTGGGCCCCAAACAAATGAAATTTTAAAAAGTCATAATAATAGCCTGGCATGATAGGCTAAATCCTCACCTTGCAACCACTGGGATCCCAAATGGCTGCTAGTTCATGTCCTGGCTGCTCCACTTCCCATCCAGCTCCCTGCTAGTGCCCTGGGAAAACAATGGAGCATGGCCCAAAACCTTGGGACCCTGCACCCTTGTGGGAGACCCGGAAGAGACTCCTGGCTCCTGGGTTTGGATCGGCTCAGCTCGAGCTGTTGTGGCCACATGGGGAGTGAACCAGTAGATGGAAGATCTTTCTCTCTGTCTCTCCATCTCTCTATAGATCTGACTTTCTAATAAAAATAAAACAAGTTGTTTTAAAAAGAAAAAAAAGTCATTATAGTATTCAACAAATGTTGTTTGATATTTCCATATTCTCCTCTGTCTTTATAGAGCTATCTTTAATTTGGTCAGGAATCTATCAAACTACAAAATCAAAGATAGAGGGGATTTCATGCCAGAATGGAAAACCTAAGAATTTATCAAAGATTTTTTCAGATAATTCATAGTGAAATTTTTGAGTTAACAGGTCTTTCTGAGGGATTAGATGTCAAAATTAAAATATTTAAACTACTCTAAAAGTGCTTTCTTTTCTAGAAGGTTTTAGGCAGATTTTGTATCATTGACAAATTACATACAGAGATATATTGAAAATGACATAATCTGGTTTTGTTTGTTTTCTTTATTTTTCCCTTTAGCTTTTCAAAAACCAGTTCCTCCTTTAGAAGAAGCCCTGAAACAAATTCAGGAATCTAACTTAAAATCAGAAGTAAACATTCCATTTTCCTACAGACAAACAGTGAATTGGAAGTAAGTAATTTATAGTATCATGTGTAATTATTTTTAGATATACTGCTTATATATCTCTGTAATTGTTTGTTTATATGCCTTTATTATTAATTACTCCTCACCTCTATTTTAGGACTGATAACTCTGTTTTCACAAATTACATTGAAATAGAGTATAAATTGCTGTGAGAGTTAAGTCAGAATTCCAGTTTGTTGTCTAAAAGTCTTTCACATTATAAATACTACATAATGTTCAATCATAAACTATCATCAAAACTATTATGAAATATTAGTACTATTATTAGTTCATCTTCACTGAGAGGAGAAAATTGTACTAACAGTGGTATAAATAGTAGTAAAAAGAATAACTGTGGTAGAAATGAATTTTTCATCCTAAGTCTTACCTGGATATCTCAAGAAAAAAAAGCTACAGTGTCTCCTGACTCCCTTTCAGGATGACATAAATGAATCATCTAGAAGCAAAATGGGCCAATCAGCCACAGAGCACCCTCTGGTACCTTGTGTTCTCCATTTACTTATTCCAAGTATTTGTTACTATTACTACAACACAGAACTATTTCAAGTGTTATAAGGAGATATAAAAAAGTATAGCACTGTAAAATTTTAACCCTAATGTACAATCTAAAACAGAAATGAAATAATAACTCATCAAAGTATAAAATAGTATCAAATGAGTAATGATAATATTTAACATTTACTTATACAAAGATATGTACAATTCAGGTAACAATAATGCCAGAGAACAACAGTCTAAGAAAGTACAAGCAGAGAAGGGTGTGGATAGAATGACTCTGTTGGCAGCTAAAGGATGAGAAGAGAACACTATTATGGAAATCACAAAGACAGAATCACAGAAATTGTATGAGAGGGTAGTATAGTGGAAACTAAGTGTAGCGTTTCATAACAGGGATCAAATGGCTCCTATATAAATTGATAGTGTAAAGGTGTTTTATCAATCAGAATCTTGGCAAGAAACAAGAAGCACATTGAAGAGTGAATGAGAGTGGCACAGGACAGTAGCCTGGTGGCTAAAGTCTTCGCCTTATGTGCACTGAGATCCCATACGGGCTCTGGTTCATACCCCCAGCAGCCCCCCTTCCCATCCAGCTCTCTGCTTGTAGCCTAGGGCAGCAGTCGAGGACAACCCAAAGCCTTGGGACCCTGCACCCATGTGGGAGACTTGGAAGAAGCTCTTGGCTCCAGGCTTCGGATTGGCTCAGCTCCTGCCATTGTGGCCACTTGGGGAGTGAATCTGGAGACAGTATCTTCCTCTCTGTCTCTCCTCCTCTGTATATCTGAGTTTCCAATAGAAATAAATAAGTCTTTTAAAAAATAGTGAGAGGTTAATTTAAAAAGGTTAGGAAGCAGTAACAGATACTGGCTCTCTCAGAGAACTGACAACAAAGTCAGTATTTGTAAGCAGAGATAAGCTAAAAAGAGCTATAGCTGTGGAAAAGAGCTGCTGTACAGGACTGTGGTCCTACCTGAATGAACATATCCATTGCTGAAAGACATCTAGCAGTGAGGAAGCCAGAGGAATGATTATCAAATGCCTCTTTATTCTGTTACTCTCCCATCTCCTGAAAATGCCATCCATTGGCCATATTCAGCCATAAATCAGAGGCAGGAGTAATTCGGTCTCGGGAGCACAGAGCTAAGTGGAAATTGAATCTGAAAAAAGCAAGAATATAATTTTTAGCAACATGTCCATTGTATTTACAACAAAAAAAGTCACTAGCACTTTTTGTCAGAGAAATTTCAGTGGAGTTGCAGGTGCACAAAATAGATAGCACCACTAAGAAACAAATGGTAAGAAGGAAATAGAAATATAAGAATTATGAGTCAGTTAAAGAATAATAGGACAATAGAGGAGATAAAGAACCATTTAATTTAAGATTAGAGATCTGGTATGTTTGAATGAGTGCCTATGTGATGAGCCTATGTGATTATAGTCTAGAAAGACAGAATAGGATAAAAATGTGAAATGTCTTAAGAATCTGTTCTATGCTGGATACGGGCCTTTTCTATGCCGCGCCATTTATTAGTATGAGTTACACATGTGAATGAGATCTGATTAAATTGCATTATAATACAGTCTAATGCTTCCAGTATGAAAATATACTTGTGTTCCTCTTACTGGGGACTGCCACAAAAATTAGCAAAGTGATAGAGAAGTATAAAGCAGAAGTGAGAAAATTATCTCAAAATATTAGTGAAAGAAATGTAGCAATTAAATTTTAGACATGTTCTAGAACACAGTGAATCTTTCACATGCTGCTGTTCCTTCTGTTATTTTTTTTTCAGTGTTATATGTGTTGGAAACAGTAATATTTTAAGTGGAGAAACACGATAGACATAAGGGAACATTTAACAGAGGATATAAGCTTTACCTCAAGTTTAATAGATAAGGGAAATATTCATCTCAGACAAATTTTCAGAGAGAACTTCAGATATAAAAAATAGTGTTTAAAAAGTCATAAGAGTTAAAAAACATAAAGGGCATGTTGTGTTAAGGGAACTTCAAGCAGTTCAGTTTGGCTAGTGTGTACAATGAGAACAGAGTTGTGGAAAGATAGGTTAGAGAAAAAGCCATGAATTAAGTCAATAAGAGCCTTTATAATGTATTTGTTCTAAATACAATTGTTAAAAGATCTGAAGAAATCATTAACACTTTAGAATTGCCAGTGGACAATAACAGAATAAAACTATAGATAGAAAAATCATGAAGAGTGATACTTTTTAAACAAAAATCTTGACTTTTTAGGAGGCAGAATCAATGTTTTTTGGTAATGGTTTAAGAACTGGAAAATGATTAGTAAGAATTAAGGATGTCTCCTGAGATTAGTTTTGGTCACTGAATGGATGGTGAAATGATCTATCAAAATAAGGGAGTATGAGGTGGAAGGAAAGTTTCACATTAAGTGTTCATTTTTTAGTGAAAAACACTAAAAGTCACTGTGAGAGAGTGATTGAACAGAGAATTATAAATTTTGAATTTGAGATATGGGATATTCAGGAACTAGATTCTCATGGCAAGAGATCTGGATTGTCAATATAGGTAGGTATGACTGTCAGCAATAGATTGGTGAAATTATAGCAGAACTACAGCCATGGCTCCATATGTACCAGTGATGGGCTTAAGCTAAACTAAAAAAATCAAACTCCCATAAGTTAAGTACCCATTCTTGCCTTCATTTACAGGAGGACACAAAACACTGCATGCCAAAAATGCAGCGTCCTTCACTGGGAGGCAAGCTTCATGGCAGCCAAAAAGCAATTGAGAAGCTAGTCTTTCCTGTTTCCCTACCAAGCCCCAACAAGTGACAGCTCACTTGTCAGAATATGATACTTACCATCCAGACTTAGAAAGTTAGCCCAAAGTTGAATTTGTCCTTAATGGACAAATGGAATTTGTTAACACTTTATTCTCACACGGTTATAGATAAGTTCACACGGATAATATATAAAATTACATACAGGGTACTGGTAAAGTAAGAAAAGAACATAACTCAATAATTCTGACATGTAAAGGATAGGTGAAGAAAGAAGGGCTCAAGCAAGACCATTCAAAGGATAACCAGAGAAGTAGGAAAATAATCAGTTGAACATGAGTTAAAGTCAAGAAAGAATGGTCAAGACCATATTTAGTTACTAAGTTAGTTCGTCACAAAGCAGTGCATTGAAATAGTAGGGTGAAAGCCAGATAGCAGGGGTTTAAGAACAAATGGAAATTGAGGAACGTGAAGACAGTATAATGTTAGGGTACTCAAGGAAAAGCTTGTCTGAAAAATGCATGACAGATAGGATGGGTCTTGAGGCTTACAGTAAATTCAGTCTTTTTAAATAACCCTTAAATATTTTAATATAAAAGTAATATAGGGCCCGGCGCGGTGGCGCAAGTGGTTAAGGTCCTCGCCTAGCACGCCCAGGATCCCATATGGGCGCCGGTTCTAATCCCGGCAGCTCCACTTCCCTTCCAGCTCCCTGCCTGTGGCCCGGGAAAGCAGCAGAGGAAGGCCCAAAGCTTTGGGACCCTGCACCCGTGTGGGAGACCCGGAAGAGGCTCCTGGCTTCGGATCGGCATAGCATCGACCGTTGTGCTCACTTGGGGAGTGAATCATCGGACGGAAGATCTTCCTCTCTGTCTCTCCTCTCTGTATATCCGCCTTTCCAATGAGAAAATAATAAAAATAAATCTTAAAAAAAAAGTAATATAAATTATTAAATACAGGGTTCTTCATCTTTAGATTTTTGTTTTGTACATGTTACTACTCTTTGCATGAATCAGATATATTCAGTAAAAAATAAATCAGTACAATAAATGAGAGCATGGATATTTTATTATGTTTAGTTGCTTGAAGTTTTAGAAAAGTTAAACTGTCAAAACAATTTTTACTTACCTGAAAGAAGTAAACAGAAAATCTTTCTAGGATTATTAAATAGCATATATCATCTTTTTTAAAGATTTATTTATTTTTATTACAAAGTCAGATATACAGAGAGGAGGAGAGATAGAGAGGAAGATGTTCCATCCGATGATTCACTCCCCAGGTGAGTGCAATGCCTAGTACTGCGCCGATCCGGAGCTGGGAACCACGAGCCTCTTACGGGTTTCCCACGCGGGTGCAGGGTCTCAAAGCTTTGGGCCGTCCTCGACTGCTTTCTCAGGCCACAAGCAGGGAGCTGGATGGGAAGTGGAGCTGCCAGGATTAGAACCGGTGCCCATATGGGATCCCAGCGCGTTCAAGGAGAGGACTTTAAGCTGCTAGGCCACCTGTGCCGGGCCCCATATATCATCTTTGTAAGAAGTTATTTTTATTCTGCATTAAAATACCTTAGTTTTTGCTTTATTATATATTTTTATGGCTGTAACTGCTGATGAGATCCATTTCCAGGAGACGGGTTGTGAGTATGTGTGTGTGTAAATGCATCAGAAAATTGTTATCTGGATCAGAAATGTGTACAGTTATAAAAAGTACCATGGACTTCTCTCCATAGATAGCTAACAATATTGAATAAAGTATTTGAAAGTGCTTTGTAATTTATAAAATGCTATATAAAAGTGACACATTAAAATATAAAGGATGAGTTGTTAGGTTAAAGGAAATGTTTACATTTATTGCATATATAATTAAGCTACAAATATTATTATCACTGAGATAAACTTTCAGTTGAATATAAATGTATGTTCAGGAATAAAGGAATACCAACAAAATGAGCTGTCAAAAAAGCACTATTCATTAAAGATAGTTCTAATGTAGAAATTATTAATGGTAGGTAAAATCTACCATTAAGAATGCTGGCAATGTGATCATTCAAAAGAGAAAAAAGTATAAAAAAGTATAGGACTTCTAGTGCTTAAGCAAGAAGAATCAGACACAGAAACTACTTCAGGAAATAATGAAATATAAGAATATCAACAAGAGTATAAAATTAAAAATGTTGTGGGTGATCAGTCTTCATCATAACCAGATTCTTATCAGAAAGCTGCCCTTCTGGCAGCTACAGGGTAAAAGAGGGAATAATCGCTCCTGTATTAAATACTTTAGCAGTATGATATATTAGATATCTATCTCCAATACCCATGTATTTTGGGTGAGACAGTTGATCTTGAACCACATGCTGCCCTGAGAAGTCTGGACAGAGCTGAGCACTTGTCTGTTTGATCTTTAATTGCCCTTTGCACCTGTGCTGTGCAGGAGATTTTTCCTGCCTATATTCATGTTTCACTTCTCTAAGAAGTGAAAATAAGAGCAAGGAATCAGGAAAGGGGAACCTGAGTAAGTAATGTATATTTCTCAGTCCGTGTGAAAGGACACTGATTGGTAAAAAGATCATGCCTGGATCCCAAGGGGAAGAAAATAAAATGAATTAAAATAACATGAATGATGAGAGACAACTTTAAAGCACACAAAGAAACCGTCTTAATAAGGCTCTTTCTGCCTGCCTATCCAAATGCTTTTCCACCTGCGCAGATCCATTCCTGCTTGTCCAGCTGTCTCCACACATGATCCCTATCTACCTAATCAGCTGTCTCCTCCACGGGTCCCATCGCTATCTCATCGTTCCCACATTCTTCCTAGCTACCCAACTCTTCCTCCAACCCACCAGCCTATTCATGCTTCTATTCCCTCTACTCTTCCTAAGTCTTTTATAACAGCCCCATTACCATCTCATCCAATCAAGTGTCTTCCTCATCCTCCAGTTACTTCCAGCTTTTCTAACAGTTTCCCTGGTCTGCCACTCCCTATTTCTTCTGGCCTGCCTGGCCCATCAGACCATCTACCCCACCCATCCCAAAGTTCTCCAGTCCTTCCTGAACCTGACTCACAAAACAAGTTATTTTACAAAACCTTCAGACCCAAACATTTCCTCTCAGCACAGCGTTCTACTCCAGCTACTCTGATGCCTGCCCTTGTTCGTCGTTCCCTTCCAGCTCGATTGATTTCCCCAACCCCTTTGGATTCTCTCCCTGTTTTGAAGCCTTCCTGTTTATCCAGTCACCCCCCTCATCAGCCAGTTCCCACTCTTTCTTATGTCAGTCCATTGCCTGAACATCCTGCTAGATTGAATACTTTTCAGTCAGTCCTGAAATCTCTTCCACAAGTGACGACTCTCTCAAATCAGTCCCAGATCCCTGTAGACCAGCTGCCTGCCTCAATTGTTTCCCGTCCACCACCCTGTCATTCTCCATCCTCTTCGTCTTCCTCTTCTACATCTTCTCCACTCTCTACACATTTTTCTTCCTCTTCGTCTACTCTTTCCTCTCCTTCACCTTCCTTTCTTCCTCCTCCATCCTTACCTCATTCATCTGTTTTACCTTCTGCTTTGTGTTCATCCCCTTCTCCATGCTTGCCTTCGACTTACTTAGCTTTTTCCTCCCCAGTTTCTCCTTTTTCTTCTTCGTTTCCTCCCATGCTTTCCTCTCCTGTTATTTCTACCTCCCCATCTCCTTTTTTTCCTGTCCATCCCTACAATCCTCCTAACTGGGGGAAGAAAGTAGAGAAGAGAAGAGAAGAAAGTGGAGTAGAGAAGAAAGCAATAGAGAAGAAAAAGTTGAGAGACGACAACTTTAAAGGTAAATACATGAGTTTATTAGATATTTTGTAGATGTAGCTATATTTTGCGGGGAAGGGTAACTGAACTGGAAGATTTTTGAAGAGTAGCATCTGTGAAAGCAAAAGACAAACACAAAATCTTAATGTTCAAGAACTTGTATTACGTATCTTCTTGATCTCTTATTTCCCTGTGATGACAAAGGGACAGTCAGGAATCTTTAACATTGACTATTTCAGTCTGTCCAAATAAGAATATATATGGGTATTGGAGATAGATGTATGTCACATGTTTCTCCTTTTAAAAAACATTTTTATCACTAAATTGGGAATCATTCAGTTGAATTGGGACCAAATGCCCTTGGGATTCATGCACTGGTAAGCCCTATGCAGCAGATAGTCAGCTAGCTGTATGGTGCCTTTATCCCCATTCCCTGTTTTATTCCCCCTTCCCCCACCAGATACTCCTTTGTTTTTCTATTTTTTTCCCACTGTATATATGCTGAAATATATTATATGGGTTTCTAGAAGACAGAAAATTTTAATAGTGTGTGATGGCATTTTAGCACACTAAAAGTAGACCTGTATATAATGTACCACCATTCCTGATTATATTCCTACATCAACTAAAAGCAAATATATGAAATCTTCTCCACTGAGTAAGAACCAAGCTCCCAAATATTATTAACGAAGGAAGAAATTTCTGTATATCCTGTCAAACAATTTTAGTATGTCTCTCTGCTTGAACCTTCAACCAACTTTATTAGGGTTTAGGAATACTTTCCTGATATGACATCAACTCAGAACAAACAGTAAAACATGTTATTCATATAAGAAAGCTCTCAAACAGAGGGCTGACTCATCTATAGAAATTACTTCTATCCCTATCTCAGATGCTGGAGAAAGAGGATTTAATAATTTAAAGCCATGTTATTCCTACATGAAGGTAGAATTCTTTATTGGTGCTATAATCTCAATCATTTATTTCTACTGGTTTTTCTAAATTCCCATTATAGTGTATCTTCATTTCTCCAATATCCTTATATGTGATTAGCTGGATAAATACATATATCACATAAATGCATCATTAATATAATTACAGGAAAGAGTAGATTTTACTTAAATATACTAAATCTTTTTTTATTCCTGGTTTACAGAGCTGTAGATTCTGCCTTGCCTTCACCATTGTCAAAAAATGAACAAAAGTGTCAGAAACATCTCTTAACCAAAAACAACTGTGCCAAGGAAATGAAGGAAAACAGTGGGGCACACCAGGCTCCTAGGAAAAATGTATTCCAGCTTAAACTAGAGGAAACTGAAAAACTTCTAAAAGATCAACACCTCAGCAGCTTGCAAGTATGAAACTATAAGTGTTATTAATATTTTAATTTCTAATAATAACTTTACCCCCTCCTTTTGCCTTATTTTTCAAGGCTAATGTATGGCATTAGCCAAATAGGCATGAAAAAAGTTTTATATAAATTAGCACAAATTCATCACAGACACTAGAGAAGCATTTTTTGGCTTTTTCCTTGTGTATTTTTTTCTTCATGTCTCTTCTATTTCAAAAAATAGGTGCTTTGTAAATGCTTTTGTAAAGATATTAAAGCAGTTTATAAATGCAATATAATATAAATGACATTGTTTAAAAATATTTTACAAAAAAACCTGAAAATTATAATATGTCAGGTTCATACAGAAATATGACAGATTTAGCTAAATGGTGCTTCTAATTTATTCCTAGAAGAACATTTCCTTTATTACTTTTTAAACAAATGAATATAGATTTCAGCTAATTTTTCTATGTGTTCACAGACTTTATTTTTTTATGAATAACACATGAGTTTTTTTAAGGTTTGATGGCTGTTATAAAAGTAGTTTTACAGTTAACCTATAAATTATACATCAGAAAAAGCATTGAGAATACAGCATGAGTAACTTGATTGATTAGCAAACTTAAGCACAAGTATATGTCAGTCACTAAAAAATACTTTTAAAAACAGCTCATTAGAGATTTAAGTTACATGACCAAAGGGGTTTTGTGTTGATAAAGCAATCTTAGTTTAGAAAAGAATGATAAACCAGTTTCAGCAATGATTTAAGATCTTTAGACACTTTAAAAATTACAATTAATTGATTAGAATCACTTCCTGTGTATAGTAACGTGAGTTTACAATTAGAAAACATTTATCACAAAGTTGTAACTCTGTAAAAATCTCTCATAAGAGGTCGCTAACAGGAGATGACTATTCATTGCTTTTGGTGGGCTCTGCTAGATCAAGATACAAAACAATTTTGGCAAGCAATGGGGTTTTTTATGTAGATGTTATTTCGCTTATCTCTTATCTTGCCCCTGTTGGCTAAAAGGTGGGGGAGGGAAAAAATTTAAAGTGGCCTTTGAGAAACTACAGCCACAGGGTGCAGCTGATTTAACAGAGAAAGCAGAGGGTGGGCAGGGAGAGCGATTGTGACTGCTGTTGTGGGAAAGGGGGGAACTTTGTCCTGGAGGTGGAGGAAGGGGAAATAGGGGCAAGTGATTGGGGTTCAGCATATGAAAGAGGCTGAGCAGGGAAAGTAGAGTCTTCTGGTGTGAATGCTTAGAAGTCAGATTGGTTAGGGGAATAGTGAGTTAAGAAGGCTGAGAGTTCGTAGTGTGCTAGAAGAACTTGAGAGGGAAAGCAGGATTGATGGAGGGTGAGAATGGAGAAAAAGAAGGCTTAAACATAGGAGAGATCTCTGTTTATCATTACAGTGACAAATTATCTAGATCACAGAGATTTTGGAGGTCAGATTGAGTCAGTGTCTAATTTGTGTTGAGTCCAGCTGCCTTGCAGAAGAAAATTAGTTGGCATGGCTGGAAATCTGAGAGTTACAGGGTTTTGAAATTTTTAGCAAACAGCCAAGTAGCAACTCTAGGGGCCTTGAACTCTCCAGCCTAGCTGGATTATTCAGAGCCCAAGGTGGCAGGATTTTTGTAACCTCAGATTTTCATAGAGGGTGAGGCCCAAGAGCCAAAAATCTAGAAAAGAATCTGTTGAGAGGCGAGAGGTTGCATTTACCCATCACTTGAAACAAGTAGTAGACCAACATTAACCTGGTTGGAATAGCCTGTGGAGTCAGCAATGGCTGAGAAGCTATGAGAAGTTTCCTTCACAATTAGTCTGAGTCAGGATCAAAGAAGTGATTGTGGCAGCTCAGATCCCCAGTGGGGAGAGACCCTCACACAGAGGGGGGATGAAAGGCAGGAGAGAGGAAAAAAGGCAAGGTGGCGAACAGGGTCCCACCATGTGGGACGACAGCCTGGTACGGTTTTCCCAGTTGAATAGAGGAGTCCACAGGGGTTGGGTGTTCAACAGTCATCCTGTGGCCCTCACCTCCAATTTGTTGTGGAAACAAAGAGAGCTAGGAGGAAGAAGAGGAGTTCAAAAGAGACATGGGTTCCTGAGGGCAAGAAGCACTTGGGCAGGTAAGCAGACAGAACGAAGAGTGGGCTTGGATTGTAGACAGAGGATCTCTTTCCATTTCCCCCAGCACCTGCAGAAGTTGAAGAGATCTCATAGGATATCAAGATCCAGAAGGCCACTAAGCAGCAACTTAGAAAAGTTGTTTAGAGTATTGAGGCCAAATTTGGTGGTGCAAAGAAATGAGCCTTTGAAGTTTTAGATTAGATATGAGTTGAAGTGGGCCTAGATTTGCCAGGGGCAGCCCATTGGGGAGTTGGGGGCAGGGAATGGTTGAGGTGGTCACACCCATGAGGTGGGGGTGGGGGAGAGTCCAAAGAGGGAATTAAAGTCCAGTGGTCCAGTAGGGATAAGAAGAGCATCCTCCTGCTATTCCCTGTTGGATGGACAATGGTCACAGGCTACACAGGGGATCATCATCACCACCTCAGTGTGGGGTTCCCCCAACACACTGGCCCGGGACCAGGAGTCCATGGGGGAACTAAAGTGCCCAACATCAGGCTTGCAGCAAACTGAACTCCAGGGAAAGAGGCTTTCCCGGCAGAATGAACCACCAGCCCAGGTTCTGCCCCAGGTCCCATAAAAAGAAAGGAGAACTCATCCAGTTACCTAGTGTTGTATGTCAGGATAGTGATCAGTGAAATGGAAGGTGACTCCATAGGGTGAAGGTTTCATGACCAAGGAGGCATAGGATCCCAAGGCAACTCAGATCCCCCCATAGAGGAGGGCAGATCTGAGTCACAGTGCCAAATGTTAGCTTTTGGGCCACAAAACCACACCACAGGCTGGGAAGCACTCAGAAGATCTACTGGCAGTAGCCAGGGCCCACCAGCAAGGCTGTCTCTCACAGTGAAAGAGCAGCAGCCCACTGGTAGAGGATGAAAGCGATTGAGAGAAAGCGAGACAGTCTTTTAGTGTAAATAAGGGTTTCATCAGTCAGAGGCGAGAGAGTCTGACAAACTGCTCCCTGGAGGGAGGCAGTCTGGGACCACCTCCACACGGCAGAGTAACCATGTGAGGGAAATGGCCCAACATATGAGATTCTTAACTGGTTAATATCAACATTCAATTTATAACCCTGGTCTGATTCAAATAGCTAACCAACCAACAGTAACAAGGTAAAGAAAGGGAAAAAAAAAGATGTCTGCTGCCGGTGCTGATTGTGTCCTTCCTGCCACAATCATCTTTAAATCTGAATAAAATATTTGAAACATCTGTTGTTAGACATTGGGTAGGGAATGATTTTGGAAAAGCTAAAACAATTAGCAAACCCTCTGATCCTCCTAGGCTTTCTTCCAAGACAAATTCTTTATATAACACTCCAAAATTCTACAAATAACAAGTCTACCTGTCAATAAAAATACTTAACGTTGTCTTAAAGTCTATGAAATCTAAACATACAATATACTGCTGACACAATACAGTGTTGATACAGTGTCAACAATGAATCAAAGCTTATCAGAGAGCAGAAAATACAAACCATAAGGGGAAAAAAGCCAATGTATGAAAGACAAAATGGCAGTGATAACAGAAATAACAGCCAAGAGATTTAAACCGTCCTGATATTTTCAAGTAGATTTGAACATAATGAAGAAGGATTTTTTGAAGGTTTTTTTTGTTTTGTTTTGTTTTTACAATTTATTTTTAATTGGAAAGTCAGATTTACAGAGTGAAGGAGAGACAAAGATCTTCCACCCACTGGTTCACTCCCAAAGTGGTCGCAATGGCCAGAGTTAAGCTGATCTGAAGCCAGGAGCTATTTTTGGGTCTCCCACATGGGTGCAGTGTCTTATACCTTTGAGCTATCCTCTACTGCTCTCCCAGGCCACAAACAGGGAGCTGAAAACGAAATTGAGCAGCCAGGATACAAACCCGTGCCCATGGAGAATCCCAGCACGTGCAAGGTGAGGACTTTAGCCACTAGGCTACTGTATCAGGCCCGGGAAGGTATATTTAAAGAAACTAAATAGACCTTCTGGAACGTAAAAAAAAAAAAAGAAGAAGCTTAGGCCCAGCATGGTAGCCTAGTGGCTAAAGTCCTCTCCTTGCAAGCATCAGGATCCCATATGGGCTCCAGTTCTTATTTCAGCAGTCCCACTTCCCAAGTGACTTGGGAAAGCAGTCAAGGATGGCACAAAGCCTTGGGACCCTGCACTCACGTGGGAGACATGGAAGATGCTCCTGGCTTCTGGGTTTGGATCAGCGCAGCTCTGGCTGTTGCAGTTACTTAGGGAGTGAGTCATCAGATGGAAGGTCTTTCTCTCTGTCTCTTCTCCTCTCTCTATATATTTGACTTTGCAATAAAAATGGATAAATCTTTAAATTTTTTTTTAGAAAGCTATATTTCAAACAGAAAGCTCATTTTATAATCACATAGCTTGTAGTAGCCACATGAAAAGTGGCAGATGTTTCAGAAGAAAGAAAACACACAAAATTCCACTTGCTATTATGAAACTTCAAGAAATTCCCTACACTAAATGGCGTGGTAATGACAAAATTGTTTTCTAAATTATGATTTGCATAATTAGGTATAGTTACTTTAGGAGTTAAATTAACACAAGCATATTTTACTATGACATTTTGTTACCTTTCTATTTGTTTATCCTGGACACTACAAAGAAATATATCATGTATGTACCCATATTTTTATGGTCATATTTTGCTGTTTTGCATGCCAAGAAAAATTAAACTCAATGTTGAGTCCTTAATTTGAGAATTTAAAAGTTTTTTGTTTTTTCAGAAATTTTGTGATGAAGTTAATCGAATAACCAATTCTGAAACCCTCTCAAGTGTTGACAGCCTGGAGGTTGGAGAACGTGAAGAAATATATTTAGCACTTAATGAAGAACCTTCCACATCTGTCCACCCAAATTCTTTTTCCCTTGGATCTACAAATCTACAGTCAGCTAATAACGCAGACTACTTTGTTGAAGATAAGTTGTCATTCTCTAAGACTGAGCATATAAATAATTGGTTAACAAATTTAGATGTTCCAATTTCTCATACTGCGGTACCTTTCTCAGATATTTTAAGTCAACCTAGTGTTGTGCCTTCCAGAGAACACTTCAGTAGTAAAGAACAAAGCCCAGGTACTTTGAGCAGAACCACGGAAAGAGCCACAAGTCCTGCTAATAATTCAGAAGGCTTTGTGTACAGTATACCTGTGTTTGTACTCGACAAAAAAAGTGAAAAACCCTCTGAACCCAGTACCAAGAGGACAAGTGACTGTACTTCTAGAGCGTTCCATAGTGAGAGGCCATTAGTTACTGAGAGCCCAACATTTAAACTCAGTAAAGCCTGGACTGCTCCAGATTGCGTAGCTCAGGAAGTGGCTGCATTTTCAGACCAACAGAAACACTCAGAACTAACTCAAGCAAATATTATTACTTCAGTTCCTACTTCATTAGTAATGACAACACCTATATTTCTGCCATCTAATACACAGTCAGCTAGGCCTTTAGCAAAACACAGTATACACATAAAAGAAATCAATCCAGTGCAGTGTTCTGATAAGTTAGATGAATTCAAAGATGTTAAAGATGAAAAGGTAAAATATAATTGTAATAATAAAGAGTTGCCTTTATTTTCAGACAATTTTCAACCTGCCCATATACCTCACAATCCTAATTCAAAAGATAAAAAGCAAAAAACTGAGACATCAATATCCCTGTCTAATATAATTCCTAATTATGATTTAGTTAGCCAACACAAGAAAATGAAATACAACATTCATGAGAGAAATAGTGTGAGGTTCCTTAAAAGTATTTTAAAAAAGGAATCTAAATATGAACATGATTATCTTAAAGCAATTATTATAAATCAAGGCTTTATACTTGGAAATCAAAAAGCATCAGCTATTAGAGATAGTATTGAATTAACAAAACAAAAAGGGAAAAATGCAGAAATCCCAAAGACTATTAAAAAACTGAGGTGGTTTGACGAAACTGGCGATAGAGAAGACAGTGCTGGGGATGGTCCCTCCATGAAGAATAGAGCAGAAGTCATCCAGCAGTGGTCTCCAGAATCGCCCATGAAAAATGATGCTAACAGCAACATCATTAGTGTTCCAGCTTGTGCTGCAAATGCAAATGATAGAATGAAGCCCAGTGATATTTCTGGCTCTAGCAGTGTTGGTGCTTTAGAAAGCAATGAGCCAGATCATGTGCCTTTGAACTGTTTTCTACCATCAGGTTATCATTTTGCTAAACAAGCTTGGTCAGCCTCAACTAAAGAAGAAGGTAAAATATCTGTTCATAATGGTGACTCTAAAACTCAGAAAGATGATCCACAAAGAGGCGGGACAAAAGTCATTAGAAGAGCAGCATCTGCCAAAGTCCAGCCAGGCAATATACATACAAATAGAAAAGGCACTGGCGTTCAACCGTTGTCCACAGGCAAAGCCAACACATTTTCACAAACTCAGGGCAAACTCATTGCACCTCCACCCCCTCCTAAACCTACTTCAGATATTAAAATCGGTAAAAATAAACAAGTGTTTCACTGTCAATCAGCCATTCCTGAAATGTCTCAAAATACTGTTGGATGTAATTATTTTAATTCAACACATTCACTTCCAACAAAGCATAATTTGAATCAGTGGAGGCAAGAATGTGGTCCTCAATTCTCAGAAGCTTCTGCTGACCTAGTCACTGTGATACCATCTCTACCATCTTACTATTCCTCTGAGTGCCATACTTTACCAAAAAGACATCATTCAAATGGCACTCAAATGATTACCCAGCAAGATGGGACATTCTATTGCACTCAAAGAACTCCTGTTTATGAAGAAAGTTGTAAGCCTGGAGCTCTTAAAACTATTGAGGAAGAGTCAGTTTTCTTGTGGAAAACAGGGAAGAATATTCTACATCAAAATGGGAGGCCTACCGGTAAGTATAAATTTACATATTTTTACAGATAAAACATGCATTCTTTAAAATTCCTGTGAAATGTTTGTTATTGAAAGATACTAATGTGTGCTGCATAAAAATTAATAGTCACAAAGTAGCCTTATGGAAACAACTGTCTTACTATATGTTGTCTGAAATTATAATTTGCATAAGCTTTTACTAGAATAGTTCAAATAGTGCTCTCCTAAAATCAGACACTTTTGCCAGACTCCATTTTTTCACCTTGCCTTTTCTTTCTTAAAGAGGGAAGCAAGGAATAGGCTATGATTCTCGTTCCATATTGTTGTGTTGTTGCAATGGCAGTCAAATTTTCTTTCAAGGAAAACAGTGAAAAATATTGAGGCCAACACAATGGCTCAACTGGTTAATCCTCTACCTACAAGTGCCAACATCCTTTATGGACACTGGTTTGTGTCCCTGCTGCTCCACTTCCCTTCCAGCTCCCTGCTTATGGCCTGGGAAAGTCGTGGATGATGGTCCAAAACTGTGGGACCCTGCACCCATGTGGGAGACCCAGAGGACACTCCTGGCTCCTGGTTTCAGATTGGTTCAGCTCCAGCCTTTGTGGCCATTTGGGGAGTGAAACAGTGAATAGATGGTCCTTCTCTGTCTTTGCTTCTCTATATAAAAGTATGCCTTTCCAGTAAAAATAAATATTTAAAAAATAGTAAAAATACTATTCAAATCATCCTAAATAGACAGATATAGTAATAATGTATAATTTTTAAATTTTACTAAATTGAATTGTTAATGTATATACCTAAGTTTCCCCATTCAGTTCCTAAAAATCAGGCTGCTATGCAATTATCTGCTCATACAAGTCTACTTAAAACTGCTCATGGAAAAAACCAATTATAAGCTAATTTTGGTGTAAAACAAATTTGAAGTCCACCCATAGTTGTTCATATTATACCTTTGGCATGAATTTTTGAAAACTGTTCATACACTGATTTTCATGTAAGGAAGAGTAGGATACCATTGCCTTCAAAGTTTTTGAAAATTAGTTATCTCTAGAATGCTATTGCTCAAATTACCTTCTTGTAAATAACTTTCCTCAGAGAGTATGGAGCAGAATGCATATATTTTCCTACCAGGAAGCATGATTGCTTATTGAGAAAAGCTTAGGGTAGGAGGGAAGGGAGAGTATAAGTACAACTTTCCTTTTTCCAACAGTACAAATAATAATTAACATGAAGAAAGTTCAAGGTTTTATTTCTGTTAGATTATGGACTTTTAAGGACAAGGGATTATTTTGTGTATTATTTTATCCCCAGGTCCTAACAATACTTGGTACTTGGTAGACATCAGACTTGCTTGCATGCGTGAAGACAAGCCACTTCAGTAGCTGAGGAACTACATGCAAAGACTGTCATCTAAAAATCTTATGAAAATCTATAAAAATTTAAAATTTACCTAAAATCTAAAAAATTCAATTTTTATGTGTATATTTTTTTAAATTAGAAAGTCAGAGAGTTCCCATCCACTGATTCATTCCCCCGGTTTCTACAATGACTAGAGCTGTGCCAGGGCCAGAGAAATAGCTAAGAACACAATCCAGGTCTCTCCCATGGGTGACAGGAATCCAGTTAAACCATCACCACTGTCTCTGGAGTCTACACTAACAGAAAAGTGGAGTCAGGAGCCAGAGATAGGAATCGAACCCAGATCTTCCAGTGCAGGATGCAGGGCATCTTAAGCAGCATCTTAACCACAGGCCAAATCTCATTCCTAGATTTTTAAATGTCCCTTAGTGAAATTTTGTTTTCTCCTTACCCAATCATTTCACAATGTAACCTTTGAATGTTTGAGTATTCTCAAGAAAGGAAGGACTCATGCAATTCAAATCTCTAAAATAAATCATTGTAATCTTTTTGAGTCTCGATCAGTCACAGAATATGCAATTTTAATTCTGGACTCACTTAAATCTTTTTAACAAACCTGAGAAAAGTCCATTTTTTTTTAACTCTGCAAAGAAGGAAACATAATTGTCTTGTGTCGAAATAGTAGAATTCACAGTTAAGTTTTAGTGGTTCCAGCTGTTATTCTTCTCCTGCTCATTATTATTATTGATGCTCAACATTACTATTGAGCAGTTATATCCCAGACCCTGAGGTAATCCCCAAAAAGCTGGAGAACATAGTTTGTTTTTATTTTCAATTTCCTAGTAATATAAAAAGAGCAAGTGTCATGCATTCCATAAAGTTTTAAGAAGACAATCACACGTCCCTCACTCTTCCGCTTCCTGAAAATACTATCCCTTCCCTCTCTTCAACAGTATTTGCACACATAGAATGCTAATTCACTGTGTATTCACAGGCTTGCTTTCCCACTAATCAGGACACTCAACAAGTAAAAAGTAGGAAGACCACGAGGTCATGTTACCACTGGAGTATAAACACTGGCCAAAACAGTCAGTCATGATATCCTAATGTGACCAGTTCATTCAAAACTTCTTTGTGTGTTCTGTAGTAGCTGCCACCTATCAGAGAAGATATTATGTTTAGCTTCTTGAAGCTGGCTTATTTCACTAAGTATACTGGTTTGCAATTGCATCTATGTTGTTATACATACAAGATTTCTTTTTTTTTATGGATTAGTAGTTTCCCATAAAGTATGTATACCACATTTTCTTTATCTATACATCAGTTAATGGCACTACAGATAGAAATTTACTTGCTATTCCACACCACCAGCCCAACAACTATTCTTTTAAAAATATGCGTATACACAAAACCAAATAAAACCTAGACATTTACCAAAGAATTATGACTTGCAGTAATATTAGGCAACAATAGATCTTTGTTCCGTTCAGCAGAGCCAGTAACTTGGACAGGGAGAGGGTCTGGGGATGAAGCACCAACAGGTGACCAGTGATGGTAGCAGTCTGCAAAGTCTCCCTTTATTGCTCCTTCACCTCTCCCCCTACACTCTTCCCCCGCCCCCACATCCTCAATTAGCAGGATATAGGATACAGATGAGTCCAATTAGTCTAGGTATTTTTAGCCACAAGCCCAGTTCCTGTTCCTGCCCAGCCCAATGAGTGCTAATCAACTCCTTAAACCACAACAGATCTTTGGAAATAGTTTTTTTTAAACATGGTTTTGGGCATATATTTTAATGGATAAGTAAGCAAACAGTAATCTAGGACTATGAAAAGAGTTGTTTTGTCTGAACATAAATTAAAGGAGCATCACCCTGTGAGATGACCGCTGTGAACAAATACCTTAAGCTCTCTTATGAAAAATAAGAAATAAAATGGATAGGCTACAGTTGCAGGGATGCTTCAGAGTAAGGAAGGATTTAAGCTACAATGGAAGATGATGCCCCTTGGGTGGTGATTCCTCCTCACTGTACTATTAAAGCAGATGGTGGATGTTCACCTGTGACTAATTTAGACACGTGAGTTAGAAATTGAAATCATTCTAAAATATTTTCTAAAGCACTACCTTTGTGAATTTCTCCAATATTTTATGTTTCCAATTTAAACCACTGCTGATTTAAAAATAGCCTCTATGGGGTCGATGCCATGGCATAGTAGGCCAAGCCTCTGCCTGTGGTACCAACATCCCGTATGGGTACTGGTTCATGTCCAGCTGTTCGATTTGCAATCCAACTCCCTGCTGATGGCCTGGGAAAGTAGCAAAAAATGGCTTAAGTCCTTGGATCTCTGAAAACATGTGGGAGATCAGAAGAAGCTCCTGGTTTCAGAACAATCCAGCTTCATCTCTCTGTCTCTCCCTCTGTGTGTGTGTGTGTGTGTGTGTGTGTGTGTGTGTGTGTGTGTGTGTATGTGCGTGTCTTTCTTTTTTTGTAATCCTGCCTTCTAAATTAAAAAAATATTTTTAGGGCCCGGCGCAGTGGCGCAAGTGGTTAAACGTCCTCGCCTTGCACGCCCGGGATCCCATATGGGCGCCGGTTCTAATCCCGGCAGCCCCGCTTCCCTTCCAGCTCCCTGCCTGTGGCCTGGGAAAGCAGTCGAGGACGGCCCAAGGCTTTGGGACCCTGCACCCACGTGGGAGACCCGGAAGAGGCTCCTGGCTTCGGATCGGCAAAGTATCGGCCCGTTGCGCTCACTTGGGGAGTGAATCATCGGACGGAAGATCTTCCTCTCTGTCTCTCCTCTCTGTATATCCGCCTTTCCAATCAAAAAAATAATAAAAAAAAATAAATCTAAAAAAAAAAAGATATCACATTTATAAAAATATTTTTTTTCCAAATTTTTTTTTTAAGATTTATTTTTTTTTTATTATTTTTTCATTGGAAAGGCGGATATACAGAGAGGAGAGACAGAGAGGAAGATCTTCCGTCCGATGATTCACTCCCCAAGTGAGCGCAACGGGCCGATACTTTGCCGATCCGAAGCCAGGAGCCTCTTCCGGGTCTCCCACGTGGGTGCAGGGTCCCAAAGCCTTGGGCCGTCCTCGACTGCTTTCCCAGGCCACAGGCAGGGAGCTGGAAGGGAAGCGGGGCTGCCGGGATTAGAACCGGCGCCCATATGGGATCCCGGGCGTGCAAGGCGAGGACGTTTAACCACTTGCGCCACTGCGCCGGGCCCAAATGTGATATCTTATTGTGATTTAATAGTCAGACATCTTTGAGGCTCTTTAGTAAAACTAACATATGCAGAATTGTATGTGTAACCACAGATTTGGCGACAAATACCACTATGAACTGTATTTTTTGTTTTTGCCATAAGTGCAGAGATTCTTGACCTTTTTTGACTAACTACTGATTAATATTTAAGTGTATGTTTTGAATAGAACAATACATAAACAATATCAAGCATACTTGTCCTGTTTCTGGGATCAATATTCTACAATCCACAAAGCATAACCCATACACAAAAAAAGATAAGTCACAAAGATAAATAATCCAACCAAAAGTTTACAACAGTGTTAACAGAATTTGCCTTCAGAAGCTTTATCAACAAGCTAAAAGGTGACATAAAATCATGTGGTAATAGCATTTCATCAAAATTTCTTTAAGGTATGTTTAAAGCTCATCAGGAGCTTAGGTGTTGTGGCATATGGGCATATGGGCTAAGCCACAACCTGAAACATCAACATCCCATCTGGGCATTGGTATCACTGCTCCACTTTCCGTTCAGCTCCCTGCTAATGCATCTGTGAATGCAAGAGAATGGCTGAAGTGCCTGGGCTGCTACCAGCCACATGGGATATTGAAAGAAGTCCCTGGCTTTGACCTAGCGTCTCCCTGGCTACTGTGGCCAATAGAGGAGTACACAAGCAGGTAGAAGACTTCTGTCTCACCCTTTCTTTCTCCCTAACTCTGCCTTTCAAATAAGTAATTTAAAAAATCTCTTCTTGGGGCTGGTATGATGGCATAACAGTTGATCCCTAACCTACTGACACCAGCATCCCATATGGACACACGCTGCTTCACTTTCTGATCAAGCTCCCCGTTTATGGCCTAGGAAGGCAGCGGAGAATGGTCCACATCCTTGGGACCTTGAATCTACATCAGAGACGTGGAAGAAGCTCCTGGTTCCCAGCTTCAACCCGCCCAGCTCGGGCTGTTGCAGCCATTTGGAGAGTGAACCAGTGGACAGAATTATCTGTGTCTCTCCTTCCCTCACTCTCTCTGTAGCTCTGACTTTCCGAGTAAAATAAATAAAATATTTTTCAAAAACACAATATCCTCTTCAGAAAAAGAAAGGTGGGGATTTTAGAGGAAAAGAAGCTGAAGCATTCCAATCAGACTGTGTATTGTGGGCCAATTTATCTCACTAGAAACTAGCATTTAGCATATCAAGCTTATACTCATGTGATTGGGAATAAGCCTAATTACAGTGCTTGTTAAGCTGTGAGTAATGACCCATTAGTGTACTGTGAAAGCAGCTTAGTGACTGGGGACTTCTCTATGAAATCTAATTTTAAAATTTGAATATCCACAATAGAAATTATCAGTAGGAGGCAGATGGTTTTTTTTAAGGCTGCCTGTATCCGATAGCAGGGTGCATGATTCCAATCCCAATTCCTCCACTTTCCATATCCAAGTATCCACTGTGAGTTCCATGCTTACAATCTAACTTCACGCTAAGCCTTCTGGGAGGCAACAACTGATGGCTCATGAACTTGGTTCCACCTCCGCATTTTGGACTCTCTCTCTCCTAATCAGAACCAGAGGCACACGTGGAGCTGTAACCACCTCAACTTTGTAACAAACATGAAAGTAAATATTTTTAAATGCAAAGAAAAAGAGAACATGGGTCCCTGGCACCCATATGGGAGACTCAGATGGTATCCGCAGCTCCTGACTGCTAGAGGCATTTAGCAAAGGAACCAGCAAAAGAAAGAAAGCTCTGTCTCCCTGTCACATAAAATGGAAAGGAATGTATTTTATAAAACTATGTGCCTATATTTATTTTTCTTCTGGGTCATAATGCAGCATATATTCTAAAATACAGTTTAAGTAGGTATCCATGAAACACAGATCAAAATATAACTTACTACTGACATAATAGTAAAATTTTAGAGTTTACAGCCCACCTGATGAGCTGACTCTCAGCTTTGCCCTCTACTAGTTCTGTGACTTTGGTCAAGTTACCTATATTCTCCTGTGCTTTGATTTCTTTATCTATGAAAGTAATAATGATAATAATGCCAGTAAACCTTAGGAGAATGTCTAGCAATTTATGAATGCTAAATATTAGATTATTTTTTACTCAAAGTTGATGTTGATTTATTTTTCCACTTTTCTTAAAAGTTGAAGGATTTTTTTGTATCTTTGCTAATCCGTATGTGGTGGTATATACATAAGAGTATTGTGGTATACAAGTATATACACATGTGTAGCTATACATTTGTAGCTTTAGTACCATAGTTAATGTGGATTTACTTAAACACTCAAACCCATGTTCTGAAGCATATAATCAAATTCCAGGACTGAAAATATTTTAATTTTTTTCTCCTGCCTGAACTCTTTGTCTTCTGTTTTTTTTTTTTTTCTTATATTATACTGGCATTTGCTTAAGATTCTGCTGTCACAAGAAGAAAACGAATTGTTGGAAAAAAGCAGAGAAATCTTTTTGCACAAAAAAGGCAGAACGCTGGATCTGTAAGACAGAAGTACAATGAACAAATTAATGTGAGTGTTGTAAAAAATTTCTATTCAGTAGTGGAAAATTCTTTGGAAAACAGTATTCTAATGGAGTATGTTTTTTCTTCAAACTGTGTATGACAATCTTCAATATAAATACAATCAACAGCTTTTGTAAAACAAATTTGGAGCATCTGTGTTAGGAGCTCATGCTTTATTGCCTGTACAAGTACAGTAAAATACTGAGAAAGGTTTTACATAAACTTGTTATCAGCAAAATTAATTACTTATATTTTGTTATTACTTATAGCCATCTCTAAAAAATTCCCCAAAAACATCAAAGTTATTTAAACATAGATTTTTAAAAGATATAAAATTAGTCATGAACAGAAGAAGCAAGTATGCTAATCATCAAAATTAATTTAGTCCCCTATGAATATCCTGTTTGGTCTGAGATTTATAGAAGACATGGCTAAAAGGGAAAATTAGGTGAGCCAAAAGATACGACTAGGAATGCTATTGAAAATACAGAATTTTAAAAGTTATTTTACATTGAAAACTTTTGTAGATCTTGAAATATCTAACAGATATATCCCTAATAACAGATAAAGAGCAAATAGTTTCAAATAGCTTTTTGAGAAAATAATCATCAATTAAACCCAAAAGCCTGATAACAATTTTTAGTTGGAGGTGATCTTGTTAGGGCTAAGTAAATGTTACCAAAATACAGCATTTTCTAGAAGTCTAACTTGATCCAGTGATTGACTATAGAGGTTTTAAACTCTGGACCCAGTGCGGTAGCCTAGTTGCTGAAGTCCTTGCCTTGCATGCACTGGAATCTTGTGTGGGCGCCAGTTCATGTCCAGGCTGCTCCACTTCCCATCCAGCTCCCTGCTTGTGGCCTGGGAGGGTGGTGAGAGGTACCCCAAGGCCTCTGGACCCTGCACCTGCATGGAGGACCTGGGGAGACTCCTGCCCCTTGGCTTCAGATCAGCTCAGCTCCGGCCATTACAGCCTCTTGGGGAGAGAGCCAGTGGATGGGGATCTTTCTGTATCTCTTTCTATCTATATATCTGCCTTTCTAAAGAATTTTTAGTTCTTTAAAAATTTATGACTTTTAAAAGGATTTTAAAATCTAAAGGGACAGGGCCCGGCGCAGTGGCGCAAGTGGTTAAGTCCTCGCCTTGCACACCCGGGAGCCCATATGGGCGCCGGTTCTAATCCCGGCAGCCCCGCTTCCCTTCCAGCTCCCTGCCTGTGGCCCGGGAAAGCAGTCGAGGACGGCCCAAGCTTTGGGACCCTGCACCCGCGTGGGAGACCTGGAAGAGGCTCCTGGCTTCGGATCGGCATAGCATCGGCCGTTGCGCTCACTTGGGGAGTGAATCATCGGACGGAAGATCTTCCTCTCTGTCTCTCCTCTCTGTATATCCGCCTTTCCAATAAAAAAATAATAAAAATAAATCTTTAAAAAAAAATCTAAAGGGACAAGCAAATAATAATTCACTTGTAGTTTTTTCTATAAACATTACTTCTGATTTTTTAAAGAAAACTGCAGCATAGGCTACCCTATAAAGAATTTATATTACAGGGCCTGGTGCGGTAGCCTAGTGACTAAAGCCCTACCTTGCATGCCTGGGATCCCATATGGACACTGGTTCGTGTCCAGGCTGCTCTACTTCTCTTCCAGCTCCCTGCCTGTGGCCTGGGAAGGCAGTCGAGGACAGTCTAAAGCCTTGGGACCCTGCATTCAGGTGGGAGACCTGGAAGATGCTCCTAGCTCCTGGTATCAACCAGCTTAGCTCCAACCGTTGCAGCTACTTGGGGAATAAACCAGCAGATGGAAGATCTTTCTCTCTCTGTCTCTCCTTCACTCTGCAAATCTGACGTTCCAATAAAAATAAATTAATAAATCTTTAGAAAAAAGAATTTGTATTACAAATTATAAGCTGAGAATTCCATCATTTGAATATTATAGAAATTATTTATTTTAATATGAATAATTATTAATATGGAGAACAATCAGCCATGTTCTAATTTACCATTAGATAAATAATAAACTGATCCGTTCACTTTAACGCAAAACTGATTAGTTAGTTAGATTTTTATGTGATTATAGTCAACCCTGTCACCAATATTCATATTGCTTAGTAACAAACATGGTACTTTATTACAAACAAATCTTCTTAATTACAAATATAATAATGTCTAATTTATCATTTTTAATTTTCTTCTCATCAGTCAAAATTCATAGTGAACCCACTTTTTATACTTTGTTTTTATTGAAATTTTAAATATAAAAGTGAGACATAAAAAAACAACAAAAAAGTGAGACATAGTTATAAAAAATAAACAAATAAGCCTTTACAAGACTATTTCCTAGCACTCACTATATGTAAATTCATTTTTTTTTTGTTTTTCTGGATCTTATTTTCTTGTTTCTTATTTCTTTGTATTTTATCTTATTGCCTTTAGAATCAATTTTATTCTTTCCAAAAGTTTCCCGTGTCTACTTCCACATCTTTGCGTCTTAATTAACCTTAGAACTAGTCAGTGTTCCAAACTCAAACTTAGTTTGTAAGTTTCAATTTTTCATCTACTTTTTTTATTCCAAAGTTCAATTAAGTACTCAGTTGTTGTAGTAGTAATCTTTGTCACCTTGAACTAGAAAATGAATTTTGTCATACTGGACTTCTTTTAGTCCATCATTTTTGTGTAGAGAGAGTCTAAAGACATGAATGATAAAAAAAAAAAAAAAAGCACCATTGCTGTATTGGCCATGACTGCAGTCTGCGGTGTCTTGAGTCTAGAGTGGAGGAAAGTCGGACTAGGAGAAGAAATGAAGGAGATCTGTTGCAAAAATCTGCCTGAGCTATTCTCCAGGTCAGACTGAACAAACACTAAATCTAGCCATAGTCACTCAGTTTTGTCTGAAAGAAACAATTGTTTTTAAAAGTGAAACATCATGGCATAAAGAAGCAAAGTAGAACTACATTCAAAGAAAATTGATGTCTTGAGGTAGTACTGAGTAGGTTTAAATTTTTCTTTTCTAGCTTCTGTGAAGTATTGGTGCAGCTGTTTGCTTTTCCTGTGCGAAATAGTTACTTACCCTTGACAGCATAAAGATTTGTTGTTAGTAATTGTGACGCTCCTGATTATGCTCGCTTTAGCAGCACATATAATAAAATCACATTAACTTCCTGGCTGCTGGCTTCCAGCTTTACCCACCCCAGCACTGTCCATGTGGCCATCTGGAGAGTGAACCAGTAGATACAGTATAACTCTCATCTTAAAGTTAATACATAAATATTTAAAACTATATGTATATGTACATATATGTACATAAATGTGCAACTTAAATGGACAGTGATTACTGAAAATAGACACAATTAAGTCTTTTTTAAAGCCTATGTATATATCATTAACTTTAAATGTAGAGCTAAGTTCTGACTTAATATTCTGTCTTTGCAGAATTTGGGACCAAGTATCCAGCTAGTTTCAAGTGAGCCAAAACAAACTACGAGGGGTATGTCTAATACTGAAGAAGGTATGTTTTAGCTTAAATGATTTCCTCTGAGCTTTGTTACCAGTGCTTTTATTTCTTTGTGTTTAAATACTATGTAACTATTAAAGCACCACTTAAAGCTTGAACTCCCCTCATCTCTGAATATTCAAGTTGTTCACAGTTTTTATTTTTAAAAATTATGTATTGAACATCTTTCTGTAACAATCTGTTTCCTGATTTTTGAAACATTTCTGTAGGATAAATTACCCAAAATGAAATTAAGGTACCTTCCATTTACTTGGCATGTCAGAATGCCAGTTTCAGTCCTGGCTACTCTGCTTCTAACCCAGCTTCTGGATAATGTGACTGGGAATGTATTTAAAGATTATTCAACTACTTGTGTCCCTGCTATTCACGTGGGAGACTTGGATGAAACCCCTGTCTTCTGGCAACAGCCTGATCCAGCACCAACCATTTATACCATTTTGGGACTGAACTAATGGATGAAAGAAAGCTCTCTGTATCTCATCCACTCTCTGTCACTCAGCTTTTCAAACAAATATTTTTCAAAAAAATAGATGAATTCTGACTTAAAGGATATAAGCATTGACATGGCTTTACATATGTATTACTAAAATAATTTTTTGGAAAGTATTATCATTCAGAATTCTTCCAGTATAGTATGTCAGCTTAAGGTAGAATCACTTCTCTTTTTTCTTACTTCTTTTTTTTAATTACTATTAACATTTTTTTATTTTTTAAAGATTAATTTTATTTTTATTGGAAAGGCAGATATACAGAGAGGAGAGACAGAGAGGAAGATCTTCCGTCCGATGATTCACTCCCCAAGTGAGCGCAACGGCCGATGCTATGCCGATCCGAAGCCAGGAGCCTCTTCCAGGTCTCCCACGCGGGTGCAGGGTCCCAAAGCTTTGGGCTGTCCTCCACTGCTTTCCCAGGTCACAGGCAGGGAGCTGGATGGGAAGTGGGGCCGCTGGGATTAGAACCGGTGCCCATATGGGATCCTGCGGCATGCAAGGCGAGAACCTTAACCACTGCGCCATTGTGCCAGGCCCTAATTACTATTAACATTTTATTATAAAATTTCATGGGCCCTGGGATTTTCCTTACGCCCACCTCAAGTTGCCTCTCCCCCACACCCCTTACTGAGTTCCCCTATATTATTACAATAGTTTAGTTCTTCATAAACAATCATATGCCCATCATTGTGGGCATTACAATGACAGAGAGTATAGCATCCTATTGTCAAGATGTAATAAACAGTTTCACTGGGAGTCCATCTTTGATCTCCAAGTAGAGATGCAAACTGCAGTGTGTCCTCACATCTGGATATGATAGCCTCCATTACACAGCTACTATACATCCCCTTAAATGAAAAGCCACAATACAAAATCAACAACTGAAAGAAAAATAGAAATTTACAATGCCATGAAGTTAAATAACATGCTACTGATTGACTAATATGTCTCTCCTCTTACCCGAGATACAGGGGGGAAAATGCTAATAGTGTGGAAACAATGGATTACCCACTTTCCTGTAGCCCTTGACCCTTTGTGCCCTAATCAACTATGTAAAGTTGATCAAAAATATATTTAAAAAATGGAAAAGGAAATCAAGAACCTTCTTGAAGAAAATTATGCTGCCATATGATAAATGAGTCAGTAAACAATTTAATGGGAAAGAAAGTGTTTTGAAAAGATGAAACTAAATTAAAAAATCAAAATCAATGAGATATAGTTTCCAATGGTCTTTGTTGGTGAAATGTGTCTCCTGTAGGCAACAAAAGATAGGTTTGTTTTTGTTTTATGCAGTCTACTAATCTATGATGTTTGATTGATGAATTTAAGCCATTTACATTCAGGATTAATATGAATGGGTAGTAATTTGGTCCTATCATTTTAGCAACGGGTTGTTCATTGATTTAGTCTTCTGTAGTTATTTTACTGGGATGTTCTCCACATTCGCCTTTGGTTATGCTTGGTGCTATTCCTCTGTCAAGAGAACATCTTTAAGTGTCATTTGTAGGGCAGGCCTGGAAGAGGCATATTGTTTTAACTCTTTGCTGCAGAAGACTTTTATTTCATTTTCAAAGACAAAAGAAACCTTTGCTGGGTACATAATCCTGGGCTGGCAATTTTTTGCTTTTAGAATCTGGACTATGTCTCTCCATTCTCTTCTGGACTATAGTTTCCTGTGAGAGATCTCCTGTAGTTTAGTTGGCATCCCTGTATATGTCAGTTGATTTTTTCACATGCATATTTAAGGATCCTTTCCATATGTTCAAGTGAAGAGAGCTTGATGATCATGTCTCATGGTGAAGATCGCTTTTGGTCAAGCTTGTTGGGAGTTCTGTGCCCCTCCTGAATGTTGTTTCCCAATTCTTTCTCTAGATTAGGGAAACTTTCCCTTATTATTTCATTAAATGCATTTTTCTTTTTTTTCTTTTTCATTTATTTTTTGGTATTATTATTTTGATATTTTGATACTCTGCATAGTTGATTAGATGCAAAGGGATAAGGGCTACAGGAAAGGGGGTAAGACCATTGTTTCCACATTCTCTCTCTCTCTTTTTTTTTTTTTTTGTTCTGTATCTGGGGTAAGGGAGAGATAAAGGGAGAAGCCACACCCAGCCTCCCACCCATCCAACGTGGGACATGCTCCAAGGGCACTTCTTAAGTGGTTTTGATAGTTCAACAGTTCTGAATTGCTTCCAATCTCGCCATTCCAAGCATGATGAAATCTTTCCAGAATCTACTGGCTGACATAGTCCACCTTAGGGTCTCCGGTTGCCCAGATTTTCACTGCCAACGCTTGGCTGGGGTAATTGATCAATTTGTTCTGGCCTCCGTCTTCTCTTGTGGTACCAGGTGTCCTCTGCAGGCTCTGATGGACTGCCATATCCTCCATGTGCACCTGGATATGCTGTCCTCTGCTCCCTCTGAGCCTCTGAGGAGGCTCAGCTTTGACACATGCACTCCACAGTCAGACCATGGAACCTGCATTTCTCTTTATGGTTGGGGTTCTGAGATCAGCAGTTCAGTTGGATGAATCCCCAAAGAAACCTCATCTGAGGTCATCCCAGACCTGATTCTTGTGTGTGCATGCCAGTACGGGTCTGGCAGAGTCCGTTGCCCCAATCAACTTATGCCTATCCTGGTGGTTGCAATTGCTGGGTAAGTTCTGTTTCCAGCCCTGTCTTCTACACAAACCAATGGGTGTTGCAGTTCAACCTGATCCTGCCCATCACACACTCGAAATACATTTTTAAACCCAGCTTCTCTTTCTGCACCTTCTGGGACTCCCGTAACTCTTATATTTGGCCTCTTGCTAGTGTCTTTCAATTCTTGAATACTTTTTTAGCTTGACCCAGTTCTGCTTCTAGCTGTTTCCTAGTTTCCTCCTGGTGACAGGAAATAGCTTCCAATTCTGAGATTTTTTCTTCTGCTTCCTTCATTCTATTTTGGAGACGTTCCACAGTACTTTTAGTTTGCTCCACTGCATTCTTCATTTCTAATATATCAGATTTTATTTGATTCATTTCCCATGTGACATATTCCTTTAATATCCTTGAACTCCTGCTTTACATGCTTCTCATTGTTGATAGGAAGCTTTAAAAACAAGTGTTTTGAATTGTGTATCCCCCATCTTCTCGGTGTCTTCCTCAGTGAACTCTGAGGTTAGCAAAGAGTTTTGCTCCTTTGCATGGGAGTCTTCAGTAATATTCATTGTGTCTCTGTCTCTTCTTTTGCTCTTGGTCATTGTATTTCTGGTTAGCAGATTCTTCTCCTTGGGGCAGGTTTCTAAGCTGTGTCATGCACAGGTCTACAGTTTGATTTTACTTATTATGGTTGGTACATGGCTCTTTGTGTGCAGTTACTTGTACCACTCCCTCCAGCGAGTTCCAGGTCTGGGTTCTTATGTCAGACTTCCACCATGGTCTCTGTAGCCCCAGCTCCTGGCTTGCCAGTCTACACCTCCTGTGATACCGTGCTGAGGCTGCACCGTTGTGTACAACCTTTCTCCCACTTCCAGTTGGAGCAGTTTCTACAATTAGAGAGACACCAGGTGTCCTATATAGCTAGGTTGTTGGTGGTGCTGATCTTGCTGGGACCTGTTGGCTGTTAGGTCTGAGAGTCACACGGACCTATTTTGACCCATACACTGCCAACGTCAGTATTATCTTCCCTGTGAAACCAATGCAATGCAATGCACTGAGCTCAGTGAGTTCTCTCCCAGCTTAGCACATGAACAGCTCACTGTTGTTCCTGCAGTCTTAAATTCTTTGCCACACTGTAACAAATGGTGCCTAATGTGCCACTGCAGTTCTTGATCTGCTGGCTGTCAGGTCTGAGGGCTACCTGGACCTGTCTTGGGTGGAACCTTTTGGATGCCACACTGTTGCATTTCACAGAGCCAGAAATTACTTCACTCCCAGCTCAGTGCATGTGCAGTGCTGTCCTATAGACTTTGCCTCCCTACACAAAATGGCGCCCAATTCAGCTCCAGGGGCTGACTGGGCTGTGATATCCACCCTGTGCTGCACTGCACGTCTGGGACCTGACAATCTATCTCTGCTCCTGGTCCAATGAAACAGACCAGCAGGATGGGCAGTTCTTTGGGTTCACCTCCTGAACTCCTGGTGAAAGCCCCTTCTCATTTGTTGCTGGTAGAGTTTTGGCTGCCCGTGCAGTTCTGATCATCACTTTCTGAAAGCCACTGGGGTATCAGTCACTGCAATACCACACTCTTGTGTCCACAGTTTTATTATCACCGGGAATTCTATGGTATGTCAGCCTGAGGTAGAATCACTTCTAATACTTGACTGTATGAAAACAAAGAAATAGTGCTGTTATCTGTGTTAAATTTTTATATTTTATTAACATATACAAGCATTTTTTCTAGTTTTTCTTTTTTAATGCATTATTTGTATTTTTCCCTTTAGATGTTAGTCTTTTATTTTTTATTAGTTCATTCAGGAAATAAATTTAATGATTATTTCAGCAAATTTTCTGTGATAGGTGGATATTGGATACAAAATTATGAATATGAAAAAAGTATATATTAATGTTGCCCTTCAGAAATATGAAGTCTGTAAGGGAAGATTCAACTTAAATCTTTTTCTTATTGGTTTCTCCATTAATTTAAAGCTCAAAAAACCTCCTGTTACAGAAATTAAGAAGTGTTTGTTTCTAAACATTTTTAGTTTGATTCCTTAAAATTTAACTTTTCTGAAATCTTTGGAACAAACTTACTGAGTCATCATGCCCTTTTTTCAAATCGTTATTTGATCATATGTTCTTACTAAATGTAACTGAAGTAGTTTCTAAGCTGTCAGTTTTGTTTAGCTAATGATTCAGTGTTCTAATCTTTCCTTAGGTTCCTTCGCTCTTACTGTTTTAACTCATTTTAACTGCCATTATAAAGACAATCTTCAGCTTCCATTTACACTACCAATGAATAATAAAAACATTATCTAAACATGATATAGTTTTTTCCTTTATTTCAGTTAGCATTCAAAAAATTTTTATGACCTCATTGTCATTATTTTGAATATTCTTAAAAGGGCTGATCCAAAGGCAAAAGGAGTAAATGACTAATGAGAGGTTTCTGTAGTTTCAGAAAGTACTTCTGAGTTTTTGATGGCTGAAAACCTGGTGAATGCATTGGTACCTGAGGATGAAATTTTAACTATCATGAAGAGCAAGCAGACAGAGAAACCAAGTCTGATTTCAAATAAGACTCAGCAATTCAACATTTGTGCACTGTCAGCTGAAGAACAGAAGATCCTGCAGTCCCTTGATCACCTCAATGAAAAATTGCACTGTAAGTATAGAATAACATCTGCTGCAACAAATGTTGCATTTTGTAAATAAGCAGTTATACTTAAAGTAGAAACCTATTCAGATCATTGCCTTCCTAAGGTAATTATACATAGAAAATAATAATTTTTTCATATATGATATTGTTTCTAATCCTTTGACAGCTAAAATTATCTTTATGTGAATAGATTTCTGTTTCAGCAGTGGAGAAGCTAGGCATCTAAGCAGATGATCCATCATAAATTCCTAATTCAGTATTTTTCAAACCTTAAATACAGAGATGAGTTGGTAAGAATTTAAGGAATTCTCAAGATCTAAATATTAATGAGAAAAAAAAAGGTAAGATGGGCAGCTAGCTTTTATCCTGAGGATATTTAACTCATACAGTGAAATTGAATTTGGTTTTACATGGCCTCACGGGAAAAAAAAAGGAAATAGGAGACAAAAATTCAATATCCAAGTAGTCTCATAGTCTGTCCTCCTGCTATAAAGTTGAGTCACCCAATGAGCTATGCTCTACATCTACAATCACATGTATTTCTTGAAATTCTGTTTCGAATAGATGGAAGGAGAATGATACAGAATCTTTCAAAGAATTTGGAACCACATCTAGAAAAACACTAATTTGTAACCCATATTCATATTACCCAAATGGTCTTCCCTGAAACCTCAGTGAAGGAATTTAACTTAGAATGATCATAAATGAATAGTACCCCCAAAACACCTGGAAAAATTAATCTTCTGAAGAAACCTAACTATGTTGCTATCCTTGAAGAATTGTCAGAAATAAAATCTAAAGGAAATAAGCAGCCTGAAATACAAATGTAAAAATAAATAACTTAGTCTTTAAAGAAAAAAGGCATCATGAAAAAATAAGTAGCCATAAGACTGAGTTAACAGAGATTTTAGATAATGAATTTAACAGACTATCAAATAACTGTATTTATATGTTGTAAAGAAATTAAGTTTAAAAATATAGTCAGATAATATTAAAATATGAAAAAAATAAGCACATTTGAAAAAACCTAAACAGAATTTTGAAAATGTGATAAATGAGAAATTCAAGTTTACCACATGGTTTACACTCAAAACCAACATCTGAGGAGAGAATCAGTAAGAATATAAATCAAATCGCATACCCAGAGTAAAACACAGAAAGACAGAGATGGAAAATATGAAACTGGTCTGAAAAGGCGCTGTAAAGAGATCTGAAATGGAGCAGAGGCAAAATTGGAAGTGATCACTGATGAATTTCCAATGTTATAACACTGCTGCAGATGACAGGCAGCCTGATGATTAAAAAATCTGCCAAACTGAAGGAAAAATATGAAAAGAATATTGCTACATGCCCAGCTAAAAGAGAGGGAGTCTTCAAAGATGAACACAGCAAGGAAAAGAAGGAGGAGGAGGAAGCTGAGGCGGAGAAAGATGAGGATAATGATGGATAAATTAGTTCTAATGCTGGTTTTTTTCATTTAACCCATATCTAAATGACTCATTCTAAAGAAAAAAAAATGGAAATGTGAAGTTGCATAAGGTGTTTTAAAAACTGTAAAGAAAGAAATACTTACGTTGCAATTACATAATTAGAGGTAAAATATGTAATGACTCCTGTATTGCTAGACAATTAGATTAAGATACAGGTTAATTGAGTCACAACTAAAGTATTAGAAATATACAACTTCCAAACTGGTAGGAAAGTGACAGCCAAAAAAATACCAGTCAACCCTTAATAAGAATATAGTGCTAGAAAAACATAGGAGAGATAGGTCGATTAGAAATACTGTGAGATGTTGCATATACAAATGTTTATACAATAAATATAGGTAGACTAAATGTGAACAGTTTAAAGACAGATTGTCAAATGAAGCTTCATATTTCATATTTATATTCCTCAAATATATTTCAAATATTTGTTGTTTATTAGTAATATATTTAAAATATAACTATAGAAAATCTGAATGCAAAAAGAAAAAAGATGGGAAATATGTGCTAAATTCTTACCAAAAGAAAGCTAACTTGGCTATAGCATTGCCAGAAAAAATTGACTTCAGAGTTGAAATCATTAGTAGACATTAAAAGGATCATTTCATGATCATCAGAGTTTAATGCAGGACAAATGCATGAAAGATTTTAGGAAATCCAAGATGGCAGAACAAGGTATAGCCACACTAACTTCATTTGCCTTAAGGTATAAAAACAGCAAAGGAAGGCCCAAGTTTCTAGGAGTTTGATTGACAGAAATTCTCAGCCAGGACACGAAAAAGCAACGGAGCCCCCTTAAGACAGAAGAGGGGATAAAGACACTGCTATAGCCAGCTGCCCCCTGTGACCCACCATCTTAGCAAGTCAAGGTCAGAAAAATCCACCACTCTCTGCCATTTGCAGTTTTAGCAGAGAGGATTCTGCAGTCATCGTACACTACTGCTTAGACCTGGGCAGCTGACTAGGATCTCAGTGACTGCCAGGGTTGGAGAAAGGAAGCTGCATGGCCACTCTTACCTCCCTCGACCCCACGGGCCACAAAGTCCTGGACTCTACACCAAAATGTCCTGCAGTGTATCTCTGCTCCATTCCTACCAGAATCAATCAGTCAATCAGAACCAGAGTCAGGGAAGTTTGCAGAAGCAAAGCTCATGATTCCCTGCATCCTGCAACTGTACAAGTTCAGGGGCATTAGCCCCAGGCTATGCTTATGCACTCTACATGTGTGGAAGTGGGGGGAAAAGTGGTGTGAATTGTGAGGTGGGAGCCAGGTCGATTTCCCAGCTTCTGTGGACTAGCACTAGCAGCAGCCCATAAAAAAGTCCACCACCACAATAGCAGAAGAAGGAGGGCAGAACTAATCAGATAACTACCCCAGCCACAGATTGACAGCAAATATAAGGGCAAATGGTGATTCTGGTATAGACTATGTCAGCCAATGGAACTTGGAAGGATTTCCTCATCCTTGGAGCAACAGAATCAGCAGTATTTCAGAACTATCAAAACCACTTGAGCACAACCCTCAGACCCTGGGAGGACCCTGGGTGGCTGTTCCCCATCCCTGGGTACTGAGGCTGTCAGGAGGCTGGGTGCGATTTCTCCCCTTAAAGCCCTCCTTCCCCAAGATACAGAAAGAGGAAAAAAAAATTGAAACAATGGCCTCATCCACTTTCTCCAAATCTCAACCCTTCCCCATAATCAATTATGTAAACATCATCAAAAATAATTTTAAAAATAAATAATGTCCATCATAACCACCCTAGGAAATTTGTGCAATTACTCCCACTGTATTCAGCAAGTAAGATGAATAAATTACAACTATGTAGATCATCATTGAATAGATCTTAAAGTAATTTTGAGCAAAATTGAGTTAATGTGAGTTAAAAACAAATTATGTTAAGTCCAAAAACATGCAAAATTAAACAGTGTTATTTTGAAGATATATATACACATCTATGCCAAAACTACAACCAAAGTCAACTGCAGGTGCCAGAAGGGGCTGGGACCCGAGCCATGTGGGACAAGGAGCTCCAAGACACTTCTGAAGCAGTTCAAAGATGGTTCTCAAGTTGTGAAAGTTCTGAAGATGTGTTCAGATTTCTTAACCCGCATGGTTACCCAGACACTAGCTGCGTTGAAGGGTTTTATTTACTCTTTAACTGTATATTAACCTCAAAATTAAAGTCATACTTAATATATTAATAGAAGGCAGGAAATGGTAATGATAAGTGATATAGAACTAATGCTATAGGATTTAAGGTATAGAATTAGGCAAATAAAGAGAAAAACCTCAATAGCTGTAAGGTTTTTAATTTTTTAAATTTCTATTAAGTGAAAATTTAAATGCTTCCTATAAAATATACTGCCTGTTTTTGTTTTCATTTTTTAACATTTTTTTCTCTTATTCAGATGCTTGCTATTACATGGACAAAAGCCTAAAAAATTGAAAGAGCAAGTATTAGCCAAATAACTCAGTTTTTTTGTATCTCAGTAGCTAAATAAGTATCTCTTCCTGATAGCTCAAAGGAGGAAATTCATTTTTGGTTAAAAACTGAAAGAAAAGTAATATTTGAATAAAGAGTATTATATAATTGTCAAAATACTAGACATTATCACATAGCTTTTAGATACTTGTTTCTAATTAATTTCATTTTCAGACCTAATGTAGGTATGAAGATTATTTCTAAAATAAATAGAAAAATGCAAACTTTGAGCATTTGAAGCATCAGAATTCAGTACTTGCTTTCTAGTCATTCTCTTTCAACCTTTATAACAATTTTTTTGTATTATGATATAATTATTTCAGATCTACAAGAAACCATGAGCAAACACTCATCCATCAAAAATGCTTTTCAAATAGTCCCATTTATGGTAAGTATTTCAAGAAGTTTTTCTTAGTTTAAGGAAACTCATGATTTTACATATTGATCAATAGAGATAATGACCTTGTGATGATATTAATTGTCTCAGTTAGGTTTTAGAGATATGTTTCTTCCCAACCAACTTTTTATCAAAAAAATTCATTAGCATCAAGCAATATATTCTAATTTCTTTTAAAAAAGAAATGGCTGTACTGTAAAGATTTTTATATCTGGAATATCTCGTCAGTCATGAAAGAAGAAACCAGGTATTAGTGTACCAATCCCCACATAATTTCATGTTTAGCCTACCTTGGAAATTACTCAGTTTTGTATTAGAGATTAACTCTGCCCTTGTTTTGATGGTTTAAAAGTACATATTACTATTTTGAATCTGTGCTTTTTGCTTCAAAACTGGATTCTAGTTAAGATATACATATAAATGCTAAGTAGCTACTGCATCCAAGAAGTTTCACTCAAGGGAGAAAGACATATGCAATGATAGTATATACAAATAACTGTGATACAAGCTGGACATCTATGAGGCACAACCTTAAGAAACAACACAAGTGGAGCGGGCATTGTGTTGGGAAAGGGTTAAGCCACTGCTGGTGAGGCCCATATCCCATATGAAATTGCCAAATTCCAGCCCTACTTCTGCACTTCTGATCCAGCTTCCTGCCAAGTGCACCCTGAGAGACAGCAGCTGACAGATGACTTCTGTTTTTAGTTCCCTGCCATCCGCATGGGAGACCTTGATGGATTTCTTGTCTCATGGTTCCATTTGGGGATTGACTCACATAAGATAGAAAATCCTTCCTCTCTCTCTCTCTCTCTCTCTCTCTCTCTCTCTCTCTCTCTCTTTTAGAAGAAAGGAAACAAAAGGGAAAGGAAGGGGAAAAAATGAATGAGGGAGAAGGGAAGGAAAGGAGAGGAGAGAAGAGAAGAGCAGAAGGAAAGGAGAGAGGGAGAAAGATAGGAGAGGAGGTATGGGGAGGGAAAGGGAAAGGGGAAATCAGATCTGTGTGATCAGGAGGCATCCAGGTCTGCAGTAAAGATATCTGCAAACTAAGATACTGCCTGACTTTCACAGTCCTCAAGTTAGGGTCCCACTGAGAATTTTTTTGCTGAAGAATTAGATGCTTGCTCAGTTGTTTTTCATCATGTGCCCTAGTTTTGAAATCTTGATAGAAAAAGTAAGGTTATGTAAGAATGCTCATTTTGCTTATAAATACTTTGCACCCATGTTTTAGAGTCTGCTGTGCTCTGGTTATAATAGTGAATAAGAGTGATTAAGAAAAAGACTAGACCTGTTCTGAGAAAACTTATTATTTACCTCTGGACACAAGACTAAGTGATGGGGGATAATTCTTTGCTACTGTGATTTTTAAATATAACTCTTGGCAACAGTCATTGGATATATTTCCATGCCACTTTTTTACACTTTAGTTCCACTTTTTTCTCTCAGTTTTCATCTCCGGCAACTTTGAAATTTAAGTAATATTTATAATAATAATTTTTCTGTGCTCAAATTTTGATTGTGACAATTCTTGTCAACTGCACTTATATTACTATGAGTTAGCTTTATTTAGGTAATATATATCTGTAGTGACTGACATCACTTTTCTGTACACTTCAGCTCAATTTGAAAACAGTGAGCTAACTGCAGACAGCCAAGCATGAGTATTAAATACTACTTGGTAATCAGAAAAAGTCACCCAATCAGGAAATTATTCCTTCATGCACATTGGTTTACTGGCTCATTATGTTGCTGGAGTACATAAGAACTAACAAGTTACTGATGTGGATTCAAGACCACTGATGGGCTTGAAGTCATTTATTTTTTGTTGTTTTGTTGTTTTTCTTTAGTAATAGTTACAATTAATTATTAGTGTTTTTCAGTCTCTATCTCCAAACAGTATTCTTGGAGTTTTAAAAATCACTAATTATCACAGGTCAGAACCTTGAACTATGGAATAAATTACAGTGCCTGTTTGAACAACTGACATCAAAATTTTTTTGTTTGCCAACCTTGCATGGAAATTTAGACATTTCATATTTATCTGTCATTTTCCATGCTATTTTTATGTTATATTCGTCACTGGAATTTCACAAGTGTTTGTCATGCTTGCTTTATCGACTGCATGAATGGATGGATGAATGGGTAGAATACATGGATAGTATACCATGTATGAACCATTTGAAAAAACAAATTGTGGACATTATGACACGTCCCCCTTAAATGCTTCAGTACACAAGCTGTCCTAACAACACTTCCATGTAACTACAATGGTGTTATACTCGAGAAACTTAATTTTGATACAACTTTTTTTTCTGATTCACATTCCATATTCAGAGTTCCCAGTTCTGTAGGGGAAAAAAAAATGTCCTCTGATCTACAATCAGCTCAGTTATATAAACCACCCCAACATATGCATATTTTCTTCTTTTGCCTGTTTCTCTCACCTTATTTTCCATTAGGGTTCTTTATCTCTACAGTATTTAATTATATTGATTTGCATCTTTCAGTGAAAAAAACTGAGGTATTCAGCATGAATGTTTAAAATTAATTGTAGTGTTAAAAAGCATTTTAAAACTGGTTAGGTCATTTGGAAGCAGTTATCTGGAGAGGATAGCAATGATTCTCTAATAGAATTTCAGCCATCCTACACTGGGGCCAGAGAAGTATTTGGGAACAGGTGAGGATTGTCAGCACTTCTGGTGGAGGGCAGCCATTCATTCCTTAGAGTAAGTGGGGCTCTGAAATTTTAGAAAACAGAAAACAAAAATCCACAACTGACCCTTTCCTATGCCATTTCTTAAAATGCTCATAATCATTTTTTTTTTTAAGATTTGTTTTGTTTGAAAAGCAAGTTTACAGAAAGAAGAAGAGACAGAGAGAGAGAGAGAGAGAGCTCTTCCATATTCTGGTTTACTGCCCAAATGGATACAACAGCCAGATCTGGGCAAACCCAAAGGCAGAAGCTCCTTTCAGGTCTCCTGAGTAGGTAAAGGGTCCATGGGCTTGAGCTATCCTCCACTGCTTTCCCAGAGCACAAAGGGAGCAGAATTGAAATTGAAGCAGCCTGGACATAAACCAGTGTCCATATGAAATGCCGGCATTGCAGGCAGAGGCTTAGCAGACAGTGTCATAACACCAGCCTTATCATAATCATTTTTAGTAATAGCATCTACCCCAGCATGTATCTGAGGATTATATAAAATAATCAACCATTCAAAGTACATAAAACAGTATTTAAATATAGCACATGTTAGGTTATAGTATTATCATTGTCATTATTTGGCTCATCTTATTTAAAGTATTTGTTTGTTTGAAAGACAAAGGTACAGAAAAAGGGAGAGAGACCTTCTATCTGATAGTGCATTTCCAAAATGGCAGCAGAAGCTAGGCTGGGCCAGGCTGAGGCTGGGAGCCTGCGATTCCATCTGGGTCCCCCAGATGGAGCATCTTCTGCTTTCCCAGGCACATCAGCAGGGGGTTGGATTAGAAGTAGGACAGGACTGAAACCAGCACTCGTATGGGATGCCAGTATTGGTGGCAGTGACTTAACCCACCGTATCATAGCAAAAAAAATGTAATAACTATGTTGAGAGTAGATAAGCGAAATATGCATGTGAAGCATAGCTTTCTGTTCTAAAAATTAGGAATTATTTCAACAACCTTTTTAGTGGTTCATTCCTGTACACTTACTCTCATTGCACTAAGGTAGGCATCTTCCATCATAATAAGAACATGATCCAAAAAAAAAAAATCATAGAATGCAGTTAAAACACAAGAATGTATTTATTTATTTACTTAAAAGCGTAACAGAGAGGGAGACTCAGATGGATAGATCTTCCATCAGCCTTCTTACTCATCAAATACCGGAAATAGCCTGGGCTAGGCCAGATGGAAGCCAAGAGGCTGAAATGCCACTGGGGTGTCCTACATGAGGGTCAGGGACCTCAGAACTGGACCGTTCTCTACTTTTTTCCCAGGTGCATTAGCAGGGAGTTGGATCAGGTGAGGAAGAACTAGGAATTGAACCTGCACTCCAGCATGGGATGGGGGTGTCCTAACCATAGCTTAGCCACCACACCACAACACCTATCCTGGCAAGTTTATTTTGGTGCAAAATTTATCCCAACCCATATACAGGTTTTTTTCATAATATGCATTTTCTGTGAATATTTTGAAAATTTGCAATATTCTTTCTACCTCATAGTTTGCTTATATTCATGCTGAGTGCACTTTAGTATTGGGGTTTTTTTTTCTCTTCTTTCCAAATTCTATCCTATTCAGTCACATCCTTCGTGCATCCTTCATGCAGCCTTCCATAATAACCAGGATAGTGGAAGATAATCTTACTGTCCTCTGTAGTTAGTACTGTTAATACTGTGCTATCGCAGGTACTTATTTTTGTCTTCTTAATTGAAAATTTTATTTGAACTTATATTCTTATAACCTCAGTTGCTTTTCACTTATGCATCTACTTCATAGAAACTAGAGCATACTAAATACTTAGAAACTATTGGATGACTTTTTATAGTATATTGAAAGACTATAGATTATGATCTACCTTTTCAGACTACTGTAAAAATGTAGATTTATTAGAGCCTGAAACTTCTCAGATATTCTGGAGCAGGAGTTTATACACTGTGAAAATCCCACTGCTTCTGCAATTCTTCCAGTGCCCTTTAATGAATGTTGGTATGTAACAAATTAGAATTATTTAATGACACTGAACATTGTTAATATGTAATTAGAAAGAAGAAAAGAAACTTATACTTACCAGGCTCTTGACATTAAAAAGTGTGGTTTTACAGTGTCAGATGGTTTCCCATATATTCTATTGTTTAATCTTCTGAGCCAGGAATAAATACCAATGTAACTTTGCCAAGGTCTCAAAACCAGGATTTACTTATTTCTCCTTTTCCCACAATATCCATCTTTTTTCAATCTGTATTTCAAGTAATGATTTTATCATCTACCAAATTTCCCGGATAGAAATGATTTGTGTAGCCACACTTCTCATTACTCCCTAGTCAATAAGTCTTCTTAATTATGCTTACTACTTGCATCACAAATCCCTCCACTCCTCTCCATTCTTACTGATAACGTTTTTAGAATTTATCCTAGGGAGCCCTGCATGGTAGCCTTGTGGCTAAAGTCCTCGCCTTGCAACTGTTGGGATCCCACATAGGCACCAGTTCATGTCCCAGCTGCTCCACTTCCCTTCCAGTTCCCTGCTTGTGGCCTATGAGGGCAGTGAGGAATGGTCCAAAGCCTTGGGACCCTGCACTCATGTGGGCTCCTGGCTTTGGATAGACTCAGCTCCAGCTGTTGGCAGTCACGTGAGGAGTGAACCAGTGGATGGAGGCTCTTTCTGTCTCTGAAAATCTGCATTTCCAATAAAAATAAATAAATCTTTAAAAAAATATGTTTATCATAGGGTAGCATTGTGGCATTTCAGATAAAACTGCTGCCTGTCACCCTGGCCACCCATATGATCACCAATTCAAGCTTCAGCTGCTCCACTTCCATTCCAGCTCCCTGCTCATGGCCTGGGAAAGCAATGGAAGATGGTGCAAGTATTTAGATCACTGAGGCTATATGGGAGACCTCAGTGAAGTTAATGGATGCTGGTTTAAGCCTGGCTCAGCCCTGGCTGGTTCAGCCATCTGGGGAATGACCCAGCAGATGGAAAACCTCTCTCTCTCTCTCTCTCTCTCTCTATTTTCAAAATAGATAAATAAATCTCTAAAAAGAATTCTGTCTCATATGGCCCGTTTCATCGGTGAATTTGCTCACTCCAGTGCATTTTACACCACTGTCACCAGAGTGATCTCTTGGAAACACAGCTATGAATGTATCACTGACCTGCTTAAAACCCAACTTAAGTGATTACCTATAAGAGAAAACAAATCATTCTGGATCTTTTCAGTCTTACCTTCACTTGTTTCCCCAGACTCATCATTTACATGCTGTTGGTTAGTGCACAGCTCCCCCTGGGACTCCTTATGTGCGTGTAGGCCCCACAGAGCTCGCACTGCACTGCAGGATTTACTCTTATCTGATCTTCCCATAGATCAAGCCCTCTGCTGTGGCTTCAACGAAGAGAAATGTATCGCATTTTCATAGGCACAGCATGCGATATACATTATTTTAGACTTGCAGCAGAGCAACCTGAGAACCCCTTTTATTGCCTTGGTGATGGTTTCTAATGAAAAACAAACATTAGTCAAGGAATCAGCATTTTCATTTTAAAGTATTTTATTTACTTTTTAAAGTAAGATAAATTCAGTGAATTTTTAACAGTTACCCTCCCAATCAACTTACTTTTTTTAGCCCAAATATATTGTCAAACTATCCCTATGCTGGTACTTCCTGTAGAAAATAAAATCATTTAATTTTAACCATTTACACAGGAGATCATAATAAGAGCCACTTTTAAGTGTATTTTCCAATAGCGAAGAGTGAAGACTGTGGATTATTATATTTAATATGGTATGCAATTTTGTTGAAATATGTGTATATGTAGCATTTGAGAATTGATAATTATCAGTTTAATCTTATTGAAGTTTATTGTCTATAAGATTTGTCTGTTAAAATCCATAAATACCATAGTAAAAGAATATTCTGAAATTGTTGCAGACCAGCCAGCCAAGAGCCAGTCCATCTCCTGATGTTGGATCCAGATTACAAAGAAAATTCTGATGCAGTATAATAGTAACTATTTAATGGAATCTTTATTTTTGAAAATATCCTGTAAATGTGTTATATATTTCTGTGTTTATTAATGATTAAAAATACTATAGCCATAAAATCAAATTAGATCATAACATGGGTAACGGAAATAAATTGACTAGTTCACATTTATGCATTACATTGACATTATAGTTGTTATGTATTTTATTGATAATACTTTTTAATGAACAGAAATATTTAATTGTTTTCAACAGGCATGCTACTAGATATAAATTAATTCTATTTAAAAAGAGGATATTTTGTTATTCAAATTATGTGTTAGCTGCAATTGCAAAGCTTTGTTTTCTGAAAATCATAATAAATTTTATTAATTTTTTAAAGTAATATAAGAAATTTATGATTAAAGCAATCCATCTAAATGGTAAAGCTATTTATTCAGGATGTTGGCAGGATCTCTGTAGTTGAAAGATGTTACCAAGGGTTATTGTTATCAGCTCTGCTTGTTCAAAAAGTAATGTTATCACTTTATCCAGGGAGATTAGGTTCACTTCAACGTAGCAGGGACTAATGGCAAAAATAAAAATAAACAATCCCAACTGGATTACTTGAACTGCCTGATAGCGATTTCTTTTTCTGTTATAAATGTCTGCTCTGGATCCAAGATTTATATTAGAAGTTCACTTTTTAAATGTTATAAGCAAAGGCAAAAGTTGTTTGATCTTAATTTTTTTTACACAATTGTGACTCTCATCCATTCTCTCATTTTCCCTCAAATATTTCTACCTAAGGCCTTCATCTGAACTGCTTCAAGCTGAATATTTGCTTCTTGTGAAATGTTGCAGGGGTAGGGAACCTTTTTTCTGCCAAGGGCCCTGTGGATATTTGTAACATCATTTGCAGGCCATACAAAATTATTGACTTAAAAAAAATTAGCCTGCTATAGATTTATTGAGTTTCAAATACCTGCTATTGTTGCCTTGGCAGAACCACATTAAATGATTTTTAAGGCCTCATATAATCTGCAGCTGAAAATGTTAATGAAACAGCCAGTATAAAACCTACCATTATCAATCTAACCTTGAAGGTTTTCAGTTTTCCCTTCAGCTATTGAAGAAATAAGCTTTTATTTAAAAAAAAAAAAAAAGTGTATTTCTTAACATCTAAGATTCTTCCTGTTCTGAATCCCTGTCTGTTTACCTGGTGCCGTGGTGACCAGTGTCCTACCATGCCAGTCATTGTAGTGTGCCACATTACTTGTACTTGCCCACATGAAGGTTGTACATGCACTATACTCTTGGACTGGACTAGCCCTGTATCTCCCCGCCATGCAGCTTTTATCTGATTCATTATTCATTCTTTCAAATACTGTTCTGAGCAAACCTTCTCTAGTCCTACTAATCCTCTACTATTTCTTTTTAAGCAAATTAATGGCCTTTTTATATAGCACGGAACCTATTTTTATGCACATATGTTTCTTCTAGACCAAGAGCTCCTGGAAATAGACGTTGCTATTCATTTCTATACTCTTAGAAATTTAAAATAGCCAGGATACCTAGAAAAAGGAGAAAATATTCAGTCACTTAATGTGTCAAACCCCTTCATAAGCTAGGTACCATCCTATGTGTTAATACATGCAAGATAAATTATTTGCTATCATGGAGCTCATACTTTAGTGGGAATATTGTTTTTAAATATATTAAAAGCATACTTTCAGGTAGTGTGCTAAATGAAAACTGGAGCATGGCAGAGAGGTGGAGAACACTGTGTAGATGAAGAGGTAAAGTGACAGAGAAAGTCTCTGAGCAAGTTTCATTGGAGCAGTGATCTGAGGGAGGTAAGAGTTAACTTTCATGATAATGGGAAAGTAGCATTCTATTTAAAAGAAGTTGGTACTCAAGAATGTAGGAAGGTTCTCAAAGGATTCCTCTGGTACCCAGAGAGTCTATCTGATGGGTAAGGGAGGATGTGACACATATTTAGGGAAGGGAACCCACCAAAGAGATTTTTCAATGACCTAAGTGAGAAGTTCTGGTACAGATCAGGTTAATCATGGTGGTAATAGCAAGTGGATAGATTCACAAGACATTTGAACTCCTTCCTTCCTGATGGAGTGGATGTGAAGCATATGTAGGAGGAAGAATCAACAAATTCCAAAATGATATTTTGGCTTTAGTAACTGTGTGAATGACAAAATCATTTTCTGAGATGAAATACTCTTTACAAAGAGAGGAGCAAATGGGTACTGAAAATCAGTTCTTAAATTTTGACTTATTTTTTAGCTAGCTGCATACTGAGTCTGAATAGACAGAGACACAAGTTTGGAATTTGGTGAGGTGCTGGCTAAACATAATTTGTGGACTGTTGGTGTATGGATGGCATGAAATAATATATGACCCAAAAAAACTCTGAAGAGCTAAGCATGAAATTGTAACTGAGTCAGTTAAATGAAGACTGAGAAATTCCCTGTGGATCTGGCTCCCTTAAGGTAATTGGTGGATTTGAAAGAAAAAAGTTTCAGTGGGATACTGGGGCAAGAAAACCTATTTGTAATGGATCCAAGAGAGAATAGACAAACAGATTGACATACAATATTGTTGGTAAGATTACAGTTAATAATCTTAAAATGTAAAGCAAAATTATAAGCCCTCCAATTGTCTGAATCTTCCTCCCTGAAACTTGTAAATGTTCTGTCATGCATAGCAGCAGGAATTTTGCAGATCTAATCAAGGTAAGGATCTTCAGAAGCACATGAGTCCGTGTGAGTCCAATGTAAATATAAGTGTTCCTGTAGGTGAAAGAAAAAAAGGCCGCAGAGTCATTCACTGCATCAGAGAGTTGAAGACACACACTGCTGGCTTTGAGGGTAAAGAAAGGAGATCAATAAATGTGGCCTCTAGAAGAAAAAAAAGGGGGTGAGGGTGTAGGGGGACAAGGGAACAGATTCTCTCTTAGAACTTACAAAAGTAAGACAGATCTACCAACACTTTAATTTTAACCCAGAGAAACCCATTTCAGGTTTATGACCTTCAAAACTGTAAGCTAATAAATTTGAGTAACTTTCACTATTAAATTTTTTATAACTTGTTACACCAGCAATAAGAAGCTAATATCCTGTGCCTGGAATTTGACGCAGTGGTTAGAATGGCGCATGGGATGCCCACATCATGTATCTGAGTGCCTGGTTGGAGTCCCAGTTCTGCTCCAGTTCCAGCTCCTTGCTGATGTACAATCTGGGAGGAGCAGTGATGGCTCAACCACTTCATTCCTTGCCATCCACATGGGAGCCCCTGATGGGGTTTGGGGCCCTTAGGTTCAGCTTTGTCAAGTCTGGACTGTCGTAAACCAGTGGATGGAATGAATGGAATCTCTCTTTCCTTCTCTCTCTTTCCCTCCCTCCCCCTCTCTCTCCCTCTCCCTTTCTGCCTTTCAAATATATATTTTCAACAGCTAAAGCTCTAACAGTCGTAGGTTATGCACATTTTTGGACCATAATTCTGTCCAGCATAATTTATCCTCCTCTTTCCACAAATGCACTTGTCTACCCACTTCCTCAGAAGGTCCCTGAAGACTTTGTCCTGTCATATCATCAGCCCAAAGTCAAAAATCTCATCTAAATCCAAGCAAATCTAAAGTCCTAAACCTGAAGCTAAATGACAGATGGTTGAGCATTTTGCCAGAAGCCGCAAAAGGAAATCAAATTGTACCTGGAAATATCCTGGGCTAAATATTAAATATTGCCAACTTCATCATTTCTAAAGCTGTACTCTCCATATAACTACATGACACAATTCTACTGTCTTTTTTTTTAACCTTTGTAGCAAGAATCCCCCTAAGTTTCCATTAACACATCGCTCATTATCTTTTGAGTAACTGACACTGATGTTAACATCCATATTTGTGACCAAGAATCTGCTCATGATGACTTAAACATTCTCCAAAATTAAACATCTTTTCTTTTCTTTTTTTTTAAAGATTTATTTTTATTATTTTTTTTTTTTATTGGAAAGGCAGATATACAGAGAGGAGAGACAGAGAGGAAGATCTTCCGTCCGATGATTCACTCCCCAAGTGAGCACAACGGCCGATGCTATGCTGGTCCGAAGCCAGGAGCCTCTTCCGGGTCTCCCACGCGGGTGCAGGATCCCAAAGCCTTGGGCTGTCCTCGACTGCTTTCCCGGGCCACAGGCAGGGAGCTGGAAAGGAAGCGGGGCTGCTGGGATAGAACAGGTGCCCATATGGGATCCCGGGCATGCAAAGGGGAGGAGCTTAACCACTTGCGCCACTGCGCTGGGCCCTAAACATCTTTTCTTTACCAGACTCTTTTTAACTCCTCTGTGTTCACACTGCAGAGTAATTAACATTCATATTTGTTGAAGATTTATTAATTTTTATTTAAAAGGCAGATTTGAAAAAAGAGAAACAGAGAACTCTTCCATCCTGATGTACTCCTCAAATGGCTGTGATGACCAGAGGTGAAACCAAGATCCCGGAGCTTCTATGAAGTCTCCCACATGGTTTCAGCGGCCCAAGGACTTGAGCCATCCCTCGTTGCCTTCATAAGCAGGGAGCTGAATTCAGAAATGGAGCAGCGGGGACACCAGCCAGTGCTGATATGGATACCGATGCTGCAGGTGTAGGATTAGTGTGCTATACCACCACACCAGCCTCCCAACATTCATATTCCTGCTGAATCTGATCAATGCAGGTTTCTCTTAGCATCTCCTCGATTCTTCCAGCCTCTGCCCACTGTCATGTTCTGAAGCTTCTTACATTTTCTTAGGTATGTATTACAACAACACCCCATTTCCAGTACAAAACCTGTGGTAGTTTCCTATTGCTGCAATAACAAGCAACCACAACCAAGTTGCTTTTATAAGAACACACAAATGCAATCTTATAATTCTTGAAATTTAACATTAGCCTCTCTAGACAAAAATGTAAGTATCAGTGAAGCTGTGTTCCTTTTTGGAAGCTCCAGGAGAGAATCTGCATTAACCTGTCCTAACTTCTAGAAGCTACATATGTTTTGTGAGTCAAAGCTCTATTCCTTGTCTTCAAAGCAAGCAATGATGGGCCAAACTTTTCACACAGATTTCACACAGCTTTAACCTCCTTTTTATGGTTTTTCTTTTTGTCATTATGATTGCATGGTTGATTGGGATAGGAAGGATCAAAGGTTAGGGAAAAGTGGGTTAAATTATGGTTTCCAAATTTGCTATTTCTTCTTGTTTCTGGGGGAAGGAGAGAAAAAAAGGGGGAAGGCACACCCAGCCTCCCAAATGTCCAATACCTAGGGATGACGAAGCGCCACCCAGTATCAGCCCAGGGTCCTGGTGTGTGCGTGTTCCGAGGGCTCTGCTCACGTGGTTTGGATAGTTGTGAAATGTCAGTTTCACCGATCCAAAGTTGAGGCAGTCCTCCTAATGTCCGTTGGCTGACACAGTCAGCCTCAAGTCTCCGTCACCCAGATTTTCACTCTCATCGTTTGGCTGGGGTGGTTGTCCAATTGGTTCTGTTCTCCTGCTGCTACTTTTACCTCCCTTTCTGCCTGTCTTCCATTTTTGAAGACCTGTATCATTACCTTGGGTTTCCC